TCATACGCTTATCACACCAACATATGTTCCTCAGGTGAAGCTCAACACTGATCCACCTCAGCTTACATTCTTCCTCCTAATTCACAACCTGGGCCAAGCTGCGGGCACCAACCTGTCTCAGGTGGCTATCAGGGACTCCATCTCTGGAATAGCAGCCCTAAAAACTGAAGGCAGAGTGGTGGAAAGAGGCTACCAGACATTTGCCATCGATACTCTGTCTGGTAAGTGTGGGAGTTCATTTTATGTTTATAATCCTACAAAACATTTCTTCAAAAATGTGTAAGTGTTTTAATTTTCTGCATGCTGCATCCACACTCAATAACAGAATATACTTTTTAACTCTTCAGCTGGATCCAAAGTAATAGTCAATTATACAGCTATTATTCAGCCAAGGTCCAGAGGCAGGTCATTGAGTGGCGTCGGGTCGAGCTGCACAAGATTTTCTCCAAGGAGCTGGAGGAGGCTACCAGGGCGAACTGGAGAAGAGTACAACCAAGAGTCTTCAGCACGATTACTTCACCTGTCAAGTAACTGAAAAATAGAGTGTCAGAGTACTGTTATGGCCAGCTCGTGTAGGCCCTAACATTCAAAATGGAGGGCCACAGTCAACTTGCTTCTTAAGTTTTGGTTTATTTCCGAACAACCAAAAATACAAGGGCAGAGGGAAATAAGTCCAGTCTGTCCCGAGGAAGCGACAGAAAGCTCTGGCAGCCTGGCTTGTATGCCCTTCCACTCAGGTGAAGCCCATCTGCAATCAGCAGGTAGGTGGGCGAGTCTCCCAATGACCAGCAGGCATGCCACCACCAACCACCAGATGACGCCAAACCCTGAAACACAAAACACAAGCAGTACCAGGCCAAACACCATGGCAAGGGCCATCACAGTACTGAGTTTACTATTTAAATGTTGAACAAATTCATGTTCTACCAGATTTATCTAGAATGCTGAATGTTAACTCACAAGATTTAATGATGATCCATGACAGTGTTTACAGCCACAAATGTATACGTTTGGACTGTTTCAAAAAAAGAAAGATATATTTTAAAAACATCTATCTTGTGGACAGTCGTCCCTTGCTCTGTACCACTCTAGATAGTGCTGCGAGTAGCATTTGTATGCTCTGCAGGTGTTCAGAGAGAGAGAGAGGAAGCTGTCTGCTGTTAGGTTTCACTTTAGATGTAAAGATTGGAGTATGATGTCACAAGTTACATTTAAATGTTTTAATGCTGTTATTTGATCATTTTGTGCATCTGGTTACCGCAGATGTTATGCTGCACTCTCTAAATTTGACTGCGTTATCAACAACAGCCTTTCCACACAGGCGGCTCCCCTGTTTTTATGACGTAATCACAAGTGAAACTTTTAAAGCTGGAGTTGTGTTGTTTCTGCAACTTTTATGAAAAGTACTTAATTCCAACCCCTAACATCTTAATCAAGATTACAGTAAAACATATTTTTCTAATTTACACTTTGGCTTGAATGCTAAAGATGATTGATTGAGAATGATAAGATCACTTATTCACTGCATGCTCGTGTTTATATATTTTGCCATTATTACAAGTGCATACATTTTTTATTTAATAGCATTATCCAACAGGTTGTTGCTGAAGCAAAACATAAAAAATAAATAAATAATGAGATTTGATATGAGATGTGTCCTTTCCTTTTTTGTCCAGGATCAGCTAGAGGAGGTGCTGGATGTTGTCCTTGCTAACCAGCGCTATGTGCTATCTGAGCGTCATGCACAGAGGAAGTTCTTAGTGCACAACCTTCACAGCCTCAACAGCCTGATTTCTGACGCCTTCTCCAGCACCTCCAGCAGTTTGGACAGCTGTCACTGACCATAACATCCTGATCGTTTGTGCTTTTTGCAGATGATGATTTTGACCCAGTTCTGATAGCTGATAAACTAAGGAGGGTGGCTGATGCTTTGAATGAAGACTTCATGTTTCAAGCTGCATTGGCTGACCTGAAGCAAGCAGCCGCACAAGAGGTAGGCTTCACACACCTGAACATGTCACATCTGAACATTTTTTCCATGGCCATTGGCATTCACAGGATTTCGAGATTACAAAGCATCTCATTTACACACTAAAATTATTTTTAGACTGATGTCGGTTTCTAAAATTCTTGTTGACTATTTTATATTTAAAGCATATCTAAATAGGTTTCAAATAGTGTCCACACGTTTTATCACAGAAATACTAAACATTTCTACAATTAATTCAAGAGAAATGTTCCTCCCAGATGTTTTTTTTTGTGGCAAAGATTTCTTAATTGTAAATGTAACTTTTCTGAAATATTGAAATATTGTTAGAAGACAGGCTTCTGGCACCATTGTTGAAAGTTAGTTTCTCCTCCATGTTGTCCCTACACACAAAAAAGACTTCAGGATTTTTCCCTTTACTTGGCAAAAAAAAAGAGTCAGTGACAATCTGATAAGAAATGAATGTATTCATCTCTTGCTTACATGAGGGACACATACATGCAAGTGCTTTGCTTGTCTCCAATATGCATTGTAATAGCCCGATCTTAACAATGCTCTGGTTCCATTTAGTGAATATTGATTTGAAGATGATTTGAAGATGGCTTGCATTCATTTGGATGAAATTCAAATAAATGTTGACATTGTATCGTGACAGAATTGAATCCATTAGCAGCTCTTCAAATCTGCATGCATGTGGACTTCAGGAGTTTCCTGGATAACTGTTGATGTTTTATTTTGAAATGGTTGTAATAAAAACCATCATAGAGTGCAAGTTAAAACAAAGAAATAGTTTTAAAACTAAGCAAGCTGTTTGCTTTGGACGTGGACATTATAGGTGTAGCCAGAATGCAATCCTAATGGTAACATTAGTCATCAGCTTTCTCCGTTTCACAGGTTTTGTACAAATCAACGTTACATTAAATTATTTGTTAATAATAATCTGTGATAAATAACTATAGACCTATTATATTCAGCTGTGTTGTAGTTGCAATTACAAAACTAGCTGTGTAAAATCATAAATCATAAAATCATAATCGACACTCAAAGCTGATCGTTTGCTCTTACTGACATTGTTCCCTTTTTTCTAGATCCTTGCTTGTGTTGTTCTTACTCTCTGATGTACGTACGTCGCTTTGGATAAAAGCGTCTGCTAAGTGAATTGTAGAATCTGCTGTCTTATTATCATTGTCTTAGTGTGTGGCTGATCAGCAGTGTGATATCTAGAGACTTCACTTTTTTAAGATTCTATTTTGGGCTCTATTAGATATAGGACAACTTGAGAAAGACAGGAGTGGTGGGGACAGAGGGTGCGGGACGACATGCATCAAATGGCGTCAGGACCGGGACTCAAACCTGTGACCAGTGTGATGAAGACCATAGGCTTGGTACACGGGGTAGCTGCTCCACCATCCGTGCCCCACCCTGAATATTTTTCTAATGCAAACAGGGAACTTATGAGAGGAGAAAATGTGCTGGATTTCCTCAATGACGGATTTTTATGGTACAGACTGGTGAGCTGACCTTTACTGACACCTAGTGGACAAGCTGCAGTCACACACTTTGGAAGAGGTGCATTTTCCTAAGTAAGGTCACAAGTCACAGCTCAGCCTGCTCATGCCTATCTAAAGTATTTTCATAACATGTCAAGTTTCATGAACATACGGGGCTCTTCATCTGCCCATTACACATCGAACAGGGAACGTTTTTTGGCACTCTGCACCTGGTTTTAGTTTGAAAAAAATCCACCACAGGGTCAAGAACTGTTCATGTTATCACAGAATAATATTCAACCTTGAATTCCTGACCTTTTACATCCCTTGTCAAGATGTAGCAATATTAGTAGACACCAGATTACAGAGGGAGCAAGAATATGTCAAATAAAGTCAGGAGGTTCTTACATTTAACCTTATGGAGCCTGTGAAGTCCAAAAAAGTAAAAAGCTTCTTCAATATTTTCCAGATATTTTTTTACTTTTTGAACTTCAGTGGCTCCTTATAAACTACATCACAGTGGCAATGAAATGTCAAAAATTCTATCATTTAAACATCATTTTACATCAGTAAATCATATTGAAAAGATAATTGTATAACACACAAAAGAGACAAGTTTTAAAAATATGTCATGTGGTCGACTTAGAGGGTAAGTTTCAGGATTCTAGTAGGCATACTTTCAGGCTGGCTAGATAAACAAATTGTGTTTATTCATTAAGAAAGTCTCTAAAGGAAGAGACTACTATAGTCAATGATTAACTGAAGTACAAGTAGCAAGTCATGATTTAGCTACAGGTAAAAGTACTAGAAGTAGCCTATAGTACTGGATTGTAGACATTTATAGGCCTAAATCAGATTAATGGTTGAACAGATGCAAGATTGGCTTCAGAAGAACATTTTGGTTGCATAGTCGCATAAAATGTAGATTTATTCAGTTGACGAGTAGGTCAATCTTAAAACTTTACATCATGTTATTTACTTAAGTAAATGTTCTTAGATTATTTCCTGAGCTGACTTTTGCTTCATTTAAATAAAAAGCTCAAACATGTTTTTTGTTATTGTAAACATTAAATCTACTAAATCTTTTTTCTTGGTAAACAGTTTTTAATAGTTTGTTTGCTAATGTGAGCATTTACCTTGTTTGGCCCTCTCAAGCTTAAATATTTGCAGTCTATGGTTGTAAGCCTTGTTGAAATGCCAGTCCCATGAGAAGATAAAACATTACACAAAACGGAGTAGATGAATGCTGCTAAATGGCTGCTAACATTTATGTCCTTTGAGCTACATTTTATTTGAACTCCCCACTACATATTCAGGGTTAACCCTAACCCCAACCAATCAAGAATCAAAGTTGTGGGCAAAAACAAAACCAACACATCTACTGAAAACTAGAATGTAGTGTATTCATGAATTCAAGGTTTTCTTCCTGCTCATAAACACTTTAAGTGGCAGTTAGTACCTGGCTATGCAGTTCATCAAATCCCTGCTCATGAACCATTTGGAATTATGAGAGAAGACAAAACTTAAGAACAGGGGTAGCTTTTTGCCGTTTTTATTGTTGCTGGAGGCTCTAATACAATATGAATCATAAGCTTTACAAAATAAAAACAAAACAAAATACAACAAAAGATTCCCCTCCAAAATGGAAACAGTTGGATATTTCCGCTATAAGACAAAAAGACAAACTGTGACCCCCAACATTGACGTAGTAAGTGAAGAGAGAGAAAGGTTGAAGAAGCTGAACAGAGGGGATGCAAACTGTCATGTTATACACCGTGTAGGGAGTCGGGTTGACAACGTGGGTGCCATCACCTGGTGATTATAACAGTCCATGCCCATGTTTTAATAAGTCTACATTTCCGCTCACTGCAGCCAATATGCTCCCACACAGGCGCACATGCACGTGGACAAAGTGGAGTTCAGAGTGACACATTAGCTAAAGGCCGCCCTAGTGTTCACACTGTTTACATCGCCCAGAATAATGACAGTTGTACACGGACAGTCATATTTTTTATACAAATATATCATGGGGGGTGTTGTTGACAAAAATAGGTGCAAGAATTAAATTTGATGTACATAATAATGACAGCCCCACAGGAGACACTGTCCGTTTCCTCGTCACTGAGGAGGTGTGGGGAGACAGCCGCTCGTTTCAAAGCGACTGAGGTCACATCAGCAGTGAGAACATCAGGGATTATTTCACACTGTAAGATTATCATTAACCGTGGTAATACTATCATTATATTCATAACATGGGAGAGAAGAGACAGAGAGAAGAAGAGAGGTGAAGAGAAGACAGAGGGAGCGGGGTGAGTGAATGGCTTCATGGCAGATGAGATGCATGAAAACAAGTTTTGACAGGAAAAACAAAACGAAAAGAACTTTTTGTATTTTTTCCACAAAAGAACAAGAGTGCAGCACTGAAACAGGCATGGAGGGAGGGACGTAAAGAAACAGAGAAAAGATGGCAGAGATGAGGCGGAGAGAGTGAGAGAGAGAGAGAGAGAGACAGAAGAATAAAAACAACAGTAGCATCTCTAGGGGTTATTTTGCGTTTTGCGTTTGAGTGCCTCCACCAGGTTTAACTTCAGAGCTTCCTGCTTTGACTTCTCACCCAAAGTCTGAACACTCCTGTGAGGGGGAGACAAAAAGAAGGGAGAGAGAGTCAGTTGTGTGCAAGAGAAGAAAAAAACACGACGACAGCGAGAGACTGGGAAAGTTTCTGCAGTGTGATGGAAACAATGTGTTAGTTTGTAAGAGAATCACTGGATGTTCTGAAAAGTATGAGTTGAATTCTCCTTCCCTGTAGAGACAAAAATACATACCATGACATCGCATATGTACCACTGCAAACAGGAAATATTAAAGTCAGGCAAATAAAACCTCCAGTTATTTTTTCATGCAGGTAAACCGTGTGCCTCACCTGCTCGCAGTGACTACCTTTACATGCACACAGTATTAAATTGTCTGCTCTCTTATTTTGAAAAGGGAATATAATCATACCAAGCTGTGTATTAACGATGATTATTCCACAAACGTTCCTGTGAACCTGCAGCAGTGCATTCTCCTATAACCAGCTGCTTCCATTCATCCAATCAGATTCTTTAAAAAGGTTAAAGCTGTGCATATTTCTGCATATCTAAAATCTTTAAAAGGTTTTTTTAAATTGGCCAATCCTTTTGTTTTACAAACACACCATTTTAAAGCCTTGCAAAATGTCTACTAGTCGGTTTGTTTATGACACACAACTGAACGTAAACAGGCCACCGGCATGTGTTGCAAACAGGGGAATAAAACTTAACGAGACACATGTTCCAAAGAAGTTCCTATAAACCCAAAAGTGACTGCTTCCCCACAATCGTCTTTATCTGGATATATTTTTAACATCTGTTCAGCTATGAGAGTTGCATATAAAATCCTCACTCTGTTTCTCAGGGTTTCAGATACAATCCTGTTAATCATAGGAGGCTGTCTATGCACTTCTTTCACACACACTTTGCCCCAGTGGGTCTTCTTCTGATAGGACAAGTGTCTAAAATAAACACTATTTCAGGAAACTGCAAAACATCAGGGCTGACATGATGTTAGACATGTTGATGTAGAAGGTATGATTCTGTCTAGCGACCTTGAGGCTTATGAAAGGGGGCACCAGAGAGAATCACCATATGCCTTTTCATTTTCTAGTAAGCACACACACGACAAACTTGGTCATGCCAGGTTGTACCTCTGACACTAGTCAATGAAGATCTGACGCTGGGTGAGCACCTGTGACAGCTCCTTCTGGAGCTGCCGGTACTTTTGGTTATCAGGCAGTGACTCAATAGATCTGGAGCACAGAGGAGAGACAGTGGGGAGGGGGAGGGGGGGTTTCAAAGGGATTGACAGAGGATTGAGAACAGAGAGTAAGAATAATGGCAGCAGAAATGAAATGTGGGGCAAAAGGCAATAAAAGAATCAAAGTGACAGAAAGGGAAAGTGGGAGGAGATAAAGTGAATACTGAGACAACTGGAACTAGAAGTTTGAAGTGAAAAGGCAGGTTTAATGAAATGATACAAGATATGATAGAAATGGGAAAAAGAGAAAGACATGATCTGTTGACTCGTACATGGAGACCCTGCAGACTGGACTTGCTCTGAATAAAAGGGGATGGTTAGAGTAAACTATAAAAGGCCTGTCGTGTTACCTTAGGCCGTTGACGATGTCCTTGGTCTTGCCAAAGTAGATTTCATTCAGTGTGGAGCGAATCTTATTCTCCATGTCCTTAAACAAGAAAAAAGACATTCCTCAGTTTAAGTGTGATTTCTACTATTTTCCTGTGTTGCACAGATGCTTCTTTGATATGTGCTGAAAAGGATGTTCAGTTAACACACTGCAGGGCAACATGAATGACTTCCTCTTCACTGGAGTTGAACAATGCATTTAGTTAGAGTACCCAGAGTACCCTGGGTTCAAAGGAAGAAATAAACAAGCTGCTCTCACTTTAGTCTGTCCTTTAAATCTGAACATTAACAATGAAACACTTACAAAGACTTTTACTTTTAAACTGCTTTGCAATCCAGAAGATCCCTGAGAAAGACTTGGTTATAGCTTCTCCAACACTAATTAACTGTCATTTCTGTCAGTCCTCAGATGTCTGGTTATCTATTCTTTGCATGTTTTCTGCATTCAATACCACTAAATGAAACTCATTTAAAGCAGTGTTACGAATAAAGGCTTTATATGTGATTTTTTGATCCAGCAGATGTCGCCCTTGAGCACCAGCATGAAACCAAAACTTTGCGCTGCATTGTTGTGTTAGCATGCTAATGCTAGCGATCTTTATTATGCTCGTATCTTCACACTGCATGTAAATTTACCTGAAATGAGCGTGATCTAGAAACACAGTTAAGCAGTGAGTACAGTATGTTATTCTTCTTTTCTCTAGTCCCTCAATTAAACAACTTTTATATGTGAGGGGAGGAGTCAGCCGGCCATCCCGGCGATGTAAACAAACTAAAGATAGGACTCTGAAAACATCACAGACAGTGGGACTCAGGTGTTACACCCATTGTAGACAGTCATGACTCACAGAGTTATTTTCAGAGGATATACTTGATTTATATTACATTGAAGTGTGAAAAATCACATAGAAAGACTTTAAGAAAAGTGGGATTTATTGCTGGACAGTTTTTAGAAAAGGTGGACTAATTCCACTGGTACATAGGTCATAATGTCATGAGCAGAATCCCTGTTTTAGGCAGGTGGTGAAGGGGTTTAAAACAAGCACAATATATGATGTCATACTAACTTCAACAAGGCGGCCGATGTTGGCGATGTGGGGATTGTTCTCTCCAACCTGGTCATCTCTTTCCATCTAAGAAAAGATGGAACAGGTTTAGTACACAATGAACAACAAGCTGGACGTCTGAATGAGTCATCTGTGTATTCTTCTGTAGTGTAATACAGCACCTGTCTTGTAAGGCTGCCTCCCAGGTTCATGGTACCAGAGCCGGTCTTAGTTGTCTGGAGCCACAGCATGACGGTGGAGGTGAGTTTGTAGTGAGCATTGCGACCGCTGGACTTCTCCTGCGCACACAACGGACACAAAAACCAATTAGACTTTAACGTGGTGTTGCTGTCTTAGGATTCATGAAAGTGCGTACTGATAATAACAGTCACAGGCCTACCGTCTGTATAAAAGAAACCCCCCTCCTTCACTTACTGTAAAATGATTGGATAGATAGTTGAGCCTCTTTTATAAGGAATATGAATCTTATATTTGCCAGAGGTGGTAACATGTTTATTCTGTATTATAAGCTGTAAAGGGATGCATAGGGTTCAGGTCTACAAGGGGTGTTGCAATGCATTAATATATACTGATCTATCAATTCATTGATTTGATAACATCATTCCATATGATCATCTTGAAAACATTTTGGATTTTGAAACTGAATGGGTGCTTGAGTCAGAGAGATAAAACAAGCAGCGAAGAAAAAGCCTGAAAAATCAAGCTCTAGCCATTTTCACTTATGAACTCCTCAAAACTTCTAAATAAATTTCTTGGAACTGTCCTAGATTATCACCTGTCAGACAAGAGAGAGTCTCCTGAAGTAAGAACTGACCTAAAAATATCTGCTACACAATGCGACAATGAGAACATTTGCCTTTATAGCAATGCTTTGATTGGCTGTTAGGGTTAACACATGCAGCTCACCCAGAAAACCTCAGGAGTGTGAAGGCTTCTGATATTGATTCAACTGTCTGGAATCATAACCTGGATTCCAGACAAAGCACATCAAGATGTTGTATCAAATATAAATGCAAGTGATTGTGCATATAGCAACAACTCACGTTGATAACAGGCCCCAGATTTGATGAAATCAAAATTGTATCCTGTCCAACCTTATGATATCAATGTTTGTAATGCTGCATCACTGTAATCTAAGGGCAAACCAGATGGCCCTTATTTCAATGCAGAGAATTATAAGCACCTTTCTAAACATTAAAACTAAACACGCTTCACATTTGCCAGCTTATGAAAACAGATAGCCAAGATGAGAGGTTTGTATTTCAAACACAACTGTGTCATTCTGTGTCCCATCAGCATCAGTCTCACCTGCACCTCTACCACATGGATGGAGTCCCAGCACCCTTTGATCTTCTTGGATCCGTCCCCGGCCTTCTTGATGAGAATAACTCCAGCAAAGCCATGATCCAAGTCCCAAAGGTACACGGAGGACACACCACCCTCAAAGTACCTGAGAAACGGACATCAGAGGTCACAGCGGGTCACACTCACCGTTTATTAAAAAACATCCCCTGACGTTGCTCAGCTGGTACTCACAGGTCTCTGTACTGGTCAAAGGCGTTATTGGCTTCGACCTCGAGTTTCCTCAAGCGAGCTGAAGGCATGGCACCATCTTCAATGGGAGGTTCATATTTGTTACTCCATGGGGATCTGAAGAAGTCAAGACGATGACAGAATTTGGTTTAAATATGTATCTTACTAAATGTTGAGCTGGCAACATTCAGCAGTGACTTACTGCAATGGTTAGTGACCTTATGGTGACAGTAGACATGATATACCATTATTATTATTATGTTTTCTTTTTAATGTAATTATCATTCCTGCAAGAAAAATGTTTACTTATAACAACAACATCATCCATAGCAATAATAATTTAACTAGCTGGCATGTGGTATACGAGAGGAAAGCAAAGATCCTGTCACAGAAAGTGGGTGAGTTTAGAAAGTTATGAAAGTGTCAAAGTCACAGCTATTTGAAGAAGTAACTTTGTAGCTGATATGCACAGTTATGGAAAGTGAACAAGATGCTCTCCTCTGCTTCCCTTTGATTGCTGCGAGTAATAATAATAATAATAATACATTTTATTTATAAGCGCCTTTCAGGACACACAAGGACACTGTATAACAATCAAGTGATGCAACGGATCACAAATCTCGTGGTTCGGATTGGATCACGGATTTGTGTCAAGGACTGGATAAAAAAAAAGTATAAAGAAACTTTTCTTCTACTCGGCTAACTTTAACTGTAACTTTGCACATATACAGCAAAACAAAATCACAGAGCCTCACAAATATATATCAAATTCTCAATTTTTGCTTTTTGCTTTATACAAAATGCTACAATTCCAATAAAACAAACGAGGACAAACCTGAGCTCCCTTTTCCCCTTAGAGGATGCCTCTAAAAAAAAAAATCAGAGTATTGCAGTATCTTAAAGAAAGAACATTCAAATCTCTGAAGTGTAGATATAAACTCTACCTGTAGGAGTCACCGTCTCGGTTGTAATCACAGAGCAGATAGTCTTTGCCCACCACCTTGTCCCGGGCGATCTTCAGGGGCTGGTCCACAGAGGAAAGGAGGTCCTCACACAGACTGGGCACCTTGATGCAAACACACAGAGGAAAACGTTTAGCCAAGGACACAGTCAACGAGGCTAACTCACAAGTTTGTAACACATTTTTAACTCCTTATAACTTCATTAAAAGTGTTGTTTTTTTCCTGAGATCATACAACGTATGAGCTCATTTTTTTATTTGTTCTGTAAAAAAAATATTTTCTGTTGTGTGTACAAAGTGACCAAACAGGAAAAACAAAAGCAGAATTGTTTGTGATATCTCATTTTATGTCAAAGATGTTTTTTCTTGCCTTATGTCTCAAGTTTCAGCCTGACTCACTTAACTGAGGTTATATTACGCTTTACTGGAATATAATATCATGAGAAACAAAATATCTAGACGATAAGGAAGTACAAATTACTAATCACAGACTGACATGGACCCCTTGCGCGATGTCCTCCAATATCAAAGCACAGACAAAGAAGAGCCCTGTTTTCCACTAAAAGTTCCCACAACCTTCAAACCACCCACACCTGGCGGCCCTGACTGGGTGAGACAAGAAACGGGGAGGGGGGGTCCAGTGGGAAGAGTGAGGCATATTGTAGAGACAGAGGAGAAGAAAGGAGGAGACAGGAGAGATACGGGACAAACAGGGGAGAAAGGTGATTTCAGGTGACGCGAGGAGGGATGCTGGCGCTAAAAAGTGTCTGGCAGGAGGAAGTGAGTGACAGTTGAGATAATAATCACTAACAACTGGACACACTGAGATAGGTGAGGAGAAAGCCAAGGCTCAGAGGGGGAGAGGTTAAAGGTGAGAGAGGAGGAAGGAGAACGGGTGGGGGTCTGACTGGCATCTACTCCACAAAACAAGGTGCCATGCAGACACTGGTAAAGTGTGATTTGATTTGTGTCAGATTTCACTTAGCAGCTGGCACGGCCGTGATGTTTCCACAGAACTGTTTGAAATGATCACATTACAATGTTCATGTTTTTTGAGAAAGGAAACATAAGACGTGTTTCACATGGGGGTTAGATATGAGGAATCAAGACAAAAGTATGAATTATTAGTTTCAATTGCACACAACCTCAAACACAAGCACATATATAAAGAAATGTTTGATAGGTGACACCGTAGATGTATCAAAAAAGAACAACCAGAGCCCGGTTTCTGTTTACAATAAAATTAAGCTAACTCCGGGTTTTCAGTTTCAGAAACTTTGAGTCGCTACCAATGGTGCCTGCGGGTCTTTTTTTCTGTGAACTATGAGTTTCTCTTTTACTCATCTCCCATTTAGCATGAAGTAGCAGTGTGACACACTGTTTCAATTCCTTGTTGACACAGTCCATTCCTCTGCAAATATTGGAAGACATCGATATGCATAAGTTAATGCATAAAGGAAATGTGAAATCCTGGCTGGTTACTGAAGGACCATGTTTATTATTACAAGATGAATGATTAATAATTCATGAGTCTATGGACAGATACAGTGATCTCTGTCTTTGAGTTCAAGTCAAACACATCATGGGTTCTTCTTCCTCAGCTCAAAGTGTGTGTATAAGTCACTCTATATGCTCTCTGTCTATGTGGACATCAGCTGCACTGAAGCATAACCATGCAGCACTGAAATAATACAGTAATCACTGATTAAGGTAAACTAATGTGTATGAGGTTTTACCGTCGAAATATTTGGCTTTGGTTATGTCAAAGCATTTAGAAAACAGTTCTTCTTATTTTTGAGATATGAATAAAGGTATAATGATATTTTAAGTTTATTCTTATTTTTTAAACCTGGAAATCTGGCAGGATGAAGCACAAAAAATAAACTTACCAGGTCAATGAGGTCACTGAGGTTCTTCTCGATCTGCTGAGGAGGCAGACGCCTCATCAGGTCCAGGGCACAGTCCAGCTGCTGCTCATTCTGAGAACAGACAAAACGCAGAGAAAACATTTTTTTTTAATTATAGTCACACACAACAGTTCTTTGCTTCACAACAAAACCCCTCATAAGCTATGATGTGGTGTACTGGTATCAGATTGAAGGATTGAATCTGCCAAGTTGGTTGTGAAACCACACATTGCCTTTGACAAAAAACATGACTTTTTAACATAGTTCATAAAGAAAAACCTATTTGATGACCCAAAAACAACCATGCATTATTTTTTAACAAAATCAGTAAATGTTCAAAGTGATACTGTAATGACAGAGATATTTCCCATCAAAGCTCAACTGTACAAACAGAAACATGACCTATGTATAGAACACTAGACAAGTACAACATTCAACAGGGTTAACATGCGTTTGTAATACCTGCTGATGTCATATAGTGATTTGTTTATCATTAAGAATTCACTTTTTTTATAACTGCAATATCATTTTGTGCAGAGGTTTGGCACTGCAGCTGCAGTATGAAGCCGACAGACACGGATGTAATTACACTAAACAGCAACACAAGCCTTGTCATAATCATTACAAATTAGATTACTATTTAAAAGGCTTTTTATTGCCTGAACAACACAGCTGCTTTTAAAGTGTTCTTCAGAACATAGTGTAATATTAAAAAGGGCTGGTTAAAAATATCGATTCATCAATGCATTGCAATTACATTCCCAATTCAATATCAATTCAGGGAAATCCTGAGATCGATTTTTTTATGTTGTAATGACGCCCCTCTCCAGTGCACTGTGGGTGCTGTGAATTCAGGTCAGGCACAATTGTGCGATTTAGATCATATTGTAAATCAATGTTTTATTTTATTGTTTGTTAAATAATGCAACGATAAAATACATTTTTGAGTCAATTTGTTCTAAACCAATACAACTTATACAAAAATACATAATTATTGAACAAATATCAGAAGGTACTGTGATGAGTTATCTGGGTATTTCTGTCAGCTATAATATGTATTACTAAATCAATATCGAAGCATAAAGCATTGAAATCGAATTGAATTGTCAGCTCTTATATTAAATATCAATGTAACACATATATAATATACCGCAACATTTTGAGACTGATCAAATTTACAGTCAAGGTGGTTTTTATGTCTATAAACCTTGTATCTGGTTGTCTAAACTACCCATGTGACACCAATGAAACACTGCAGCCTGATCGCAGCGTCTTTAAAAACGGAAAGGATGTATCCGAATCAGTGGAAAACAATATTCAGGAAGCTGAAGAGGGCAGAAAAGAGTACAACTCTTTAGATCATAAATGTAGTCATCATCAACACGCCACCTCCCTCGTTAAGAAAGCTCCAGATAATTACCCAGTAATGATGTTGAGCACATCAGCTCAATTGGACTTTACACAGACTATGTGCCTGGTGGGATAAAGTCTGTTTGATTCCTCTGTTAACAGGTTCAGATGGTTAGATTTTCACATGTGGGTCCTCCTGGTAATGCCTGGACATGTTCAGGAAAGCAGTGTTTGTGTGAAAGTGAGGCTATCTCCATTACCAATATCAAGAGCCACTAGAGAAAGAACAATTGTTGCTTGATTTTACCTTTACCTTGAGTTTTTACGGGTGGATCACATTTCTACACTGCTTCTGTCGACTGACAAGTTAACTTGACCTTAAGAATTTCAACTTACTCAGGCTTTAAGACAGAGTTTCATCTCATCCAGTCTCTATTTTTATAAAGAAGAGTTCTGTAAAATGTTCTGTCCATGGACACAAACACTACAGCCATCTGCACATGGTCCCTGAGGTGAGATCTGTTTTTAATCTGCCAAAGATCCAGTCATATTAATAGCATTCTACTGCATCTCAAAAATGTCAAAAACAAACACATAAACAGCCTTTGTAATAAAAAAGCTTGAGAAATGGCCACTTGATTTCAGCAGATCAGGATCAAGATAAAATATGAGATATATTCTTCCCAGAATGAGGACAGTTGATTTTGAACGCTATACCTCACAACTGAATTTGCTCACTAGCATACTTGAAGTAAGGACTATGAAGATGATTTAAGTGGAAAAATATATTTCATTGTGGCGTCAGGACTTCAGGCTCCAAAAATAATAGAATGACCACTTCAAGCGCCGCCAGGTTTCCAAAACAACACACTGATGATAAAGGCCTGTTACATTCTGTACGAGGGTATGAGAGGAGTTGCAGGAAATCTCCACACCCCTGGAGGCAAACTCTGATTGTACTGTGATGTTAAAGACAACTTTCCAACTTAGAAAACTAAACAGCACTCGTGGTAGTCATATGAGAAGTTACAGAGAGAAAAACCTGTTGGAAATTAAATAGTAAATGCACTTGAATCAGGGAGGACAGGGACCACATTGAATTGCAAAGTGCACAAAACTGGTTTGTGGATAAAACTGTCAGACATAAGGCACATCTGATCTGACCACACCATAACCACTGACAATTGTGTAAAAGTCACCACACTCCACTTTGGAGATAGCAGTTATTAAGATGCAAGGGCGGGAACACACTAAAAACAGGGATTACTGTGTATTGCAAGACACAATGAACAAAAAGTCCCAAACAAACAAAATATGATCTCCGAAAGTTCAGTTCAAATTGTCTTTTTAGTCCACAGAAGAAGGACTTTTACTTTGCGATTACCGCTTTACCCCCCCCCCCCCCCCAAACCAATGACATTTATTCATCCAGGACAGAGCAGCATAACTAGATGTTTTCCTATATTTTGGAATTTTAGATGATTATTCTTTTAATAACTACAAAACGGAACAACCTTATAGGGAGAAATAGCTCATAATGGACAGACGAGCGAGATTGTCATTACGCACAGAGGAGAAAGATGAAACAGACAGACACTTAAATCATTCACCTGTTCTATTGTAACTTCATTTACCAGAGTAGTGTGCTCTTGCTGTCAAAGCAGCTTCAACGTGCGATGAATGTGCATTGATGTCACTGCTCTAATTATAATAAAGTGTTAAAACATACACAACTGTGTGAAGATTTATTTGAGGTTTGCTGTCTGTTGAAGTAAGAAATGTCCTAATTTGAACGTTAATACAAAGTAGGCCTATTACTAACAATTATTAAAATCCCGAAGATTCAAATTAATCAATAGATACAGTCGGCATCGCGTCATAATTGGGGGCGGGGCCTCACGTGGAGGAAAAGAATCACAGAAAAAAAAAAGTACTCCAAAACGATTACTCGTTTTAACAATGGGAATAGTAATCGATTAGAGAACATTTAGTATTTCTGCACCCCTAGTAGGGAATCATTAGAGCAACATCTGTTATTCAAAACATTGACTAAAGACCAATGTTCTACAATTCTACAATTCACTTAGACGCTTTTATCCAAAGTGACGTACAGAGAGTAAGTACAACACAAGCAAGGATCTAGAAAAAAAGGGAACAATGTCAGTAAGAGCAAACGATCAGCTTTGAGTCTGATTGGACACACAGGTGCTGACAGGAAGTGACCAGAGGCAAAGCACAACATTGAGGACAGTTCTTGAGAGCTCTAATCAGTATAGAAACCATCTTATAAGTCATCGTTATCAAACAAAAACCATCGTCATTCCCATCATCATCATCAATAATATGGAGACCTAACATTAAGTTAGTAGGTATTCATGAAAGAGCTGGGTCTTTAGCTTTTTCTTAAACGTGCAGAGGGACTCTGCAGATCTAATGGAGTTTGGAAGTTCATTCCACCACCAGGGGGTGACAGAGGAGAAGAGTCTAGTCAGAGACTTAGGACTATGTTGTGAAGGTTGGATCAGACGCCTTTCATTGGCAGAGCTCTCTTTAACCTCCATGTTTGTAGAGCGGCATTCAACTCGTACAAGCTAATGTCCCCAGGAAACATCAGCTAGATTGCCAAACAATTTCTCACACAAACAACAAAAAGCCTTAAAAAAAGATCCATAACATTTTCCAGACAGTCAAATACTAGATTGATGACCATGAGCAGGAGTTTGTTTATGAATGTTTCCCCCTAGGTTTATCTGTTTGAGGGGTTGGACTGGTCACCAGCGGAGGTCAAATCTTTTTCTGGCACATAACATAAGCCGTTTTCACATATGCACTCCGGATAATATTTAGATAATTAAAGGAGGACTGCACCGAAGCAACAGAGTCCGCTACATGACGTTATGAGAATATTTGCCTTTAAAATGTATTGTGTTTGGGGCGTGCTGGTGGCGCAATGGTTAGGGCGTGCTTCCCATGTGTTGAGGCTCTCGTCTCGAGCGGTAGGCCCGGGTTCGCTTCCACCCGTGGCCCCTTTCCGCATGTCATTCCCCACTCTCTCCCTGGTTTCTGACTCTATCCACTGTCCTGTCTCTGCATTAAAGGCGCAAAAAAAAAAAAGCCCAAAAATAAATTGTATTGCATTCATAATATAAGGATCAATGCTATGCAGGAAAGAGTAGAGCCATGTGCTCAACTTTAAATTAGAAAAAATATAGACCAATTAAATAAATAATGAATCCCTCTTCACTTCTGTTTGCTATTCTTATACTGAGGAGGTTTTAGTTGATTTACAGGTTTCGGGCTTTGGCTTTTAGAAACAATCTTATTTACATTGAAAACTGTCCCTTAATTAACATACAGGCGCTCAAAACAAGTGTATACAAAGGAAGTCAGAGAGGAAGGGAGAGAACAAGCAGCAATCTCTGGTGTTGAGAAATAAAGCCAATACAGAAGTGCATAAAAACTGCAGTTCCTCAAGTGTCCACTTGAGACTGGCTCCAAAAGACCCAGAAGTCTTGCACATAAACACCCCATCTTATTGGCTCATGTTAACTCCTCACTTCATTTAGATCTCTGAGTTGAGCTAGCACAGAGGGACATCCCAACTTCACATAGCAAGCGCTCTGAAGAGAGAAAATACAATTCTTTACTTTGACTAAGGTTCTACAACTGTTGCTGAAAAAAATCATAGCTTTTCAAGTCTAAACATTTGACGTTTATTAGTATGACTCTAGATTTTTTTTTCCAAAATGATTGTTAAAAAATGACTTCGGTGGTAGACAACTTCAAATTTGTTGTCAGATACTTAACAAATACCATCAATCTGTGCCGGGATTAACCGGGCCTGAGCATGGTTACCTCTTGCATAATACAACACATGCATGGCTTTACATGATCAACGAGCGTGCTCAGTTGAGAAGACAGACGGACTAAAAAAATTGATTTTTCTTTTTAATAAAAGAGGTGCTCGTTCGAGTCCACATCCACACATCGGAGAACAACACAGAGAACATGACAGCATACTTCACTGACTTTGTGGCTTATTTTGAGTCAGATCTGTAGCATCACGGGATTTCTCGATAATGGAGGTGGGGATCAATTGTTCTTCATGCCCACGTTGTGTACCCATGCTTGAGCAACAGTGCTGTGCCTAACAAACCTCTTCCAACCTTGCCAGGGCCAAGGAAGTGTACGTTGCTTGAGCACGGAAATGATCACTTGCACCAGTCAAATGAACTTGACTTTGGGGCGCTGGTGGCGCAGTGGTTAATGCGCACACCCCATGTATGGAGGCTGTCGTCTCAAGCGGGTGGCCCGGGTTCACATCCCGCCTGTGGCTTCTTACCCGCATGTCATTCCCCACTCTCTCTCCCTGATTTCCAACTCTATCTACTGTCCTATCTCTCCATTAAAGGCACAAAAAGCCCCAAAATAAATCTCCACGACTTCAAGGGGGAAATTTACTAGGGAAATTTGCAGGAAAAATTCCAGGTCAAGTCAGAGTGAAATAATCTGGCTGCTTGCTATCATACATTCAGCTCATCCTTAGATTTCAGGAAGTTTAGGAATTTTTGTGCAAGTCACTGAAGTAAATTCCTTATTTGGTTTGAGGTTTGAGTTGAGCTTTTTTTTGTTATGTACTCACTTATTCACTCAGTAAATATTTGAAAACAGGGTCAATTTTCCCCATAACCCCCATTCCGTTGAGCAGCAGGGCAATTCTTATTCGCTTTTGCAGATAAATATTCCTTTAATATATGTCAAAGAGGTGAAATTCATACAAAACAATTCTCTTCACTTTAGCTGTGATAATGTCATACTTTTGCCTTACTTTCTCCCCTTTAAATAGTCAAGTCCATTTAGACAAAATAAATGACATTATGACCACTGTGGAGGACACAAAATAAACAGGACTGCATAGCTTCCCCCCAGGGGGTTTCCCTCCCTAAAATATGCAGTGAGCAGCAGGGTATTAAGAGTGAGGGGGAGACCAGCTACAACATGAATTACTGGGGAATGTGTTGGTGATGGAAGTAGGTATGTTATTGCAGAGGGACAAAACCTGTTTTTAAGCTAAACCTACCAGGTTTGTTTCTAAGATTTTTACCTTTATTATTAGCATTATTAGACGATGCCATCAACAACACATAATCCTATAGAAAAAAACAATTTAAACTAATGTCAACATTACTCTTATTACAAAAGGTTCTGTACTTGAATTTACTATAATATCAGTGTTGTATAACTGGGTTTACCAGCCTACACTAGGAAACATTGTAACCGATTTGAATATAATTACACCAGTATTTAGTGGCATTATAGGCCAGAGATATGATGAGATCCTTGTCTTCAAGTTACGCTAATGTGTAGTCTACCAATAAAACACACAGAAATGTGCCGACCTGCAGTTTGCAAAACCAATGCATTTACATTGGAATAATCAAGCATGGTAAGAGCAATACATTTTTACAACATTATTTGTAAGCTATTTTTATTTGATTCACCACACCTTAACACTGTGACAAGACCCACTGCATTTGCCTATTAGTGAAGTAACACCTCTTATGAGCATAAACAGACTATACTGATGTAGCTGTTGGCTGGTCAAAAGAACTGAAGGGAGCCCTCTTTCCATAAACATTTTTCCTAAAGGATGACCCTGAACAGAACTGGAGTTTCTTGGTGATATCTCCAATACTGTCACCATGACTCTCCGTTTACTTTTATGCCTGTTTTAACATCTCTTGCAGCTGATTAATCAATCTACTCCATCAGACACCTGTACGCCTTGACACTTTGTTTAGTGCTCCTGTCTCTGTTTAAAACACTAGCTCAGACACACAACCCCTGGGGTCATAGGAGACCTGTAAGCCTGAACCAGCAGGATGGATGAGGTGAGGCCTTGGAGAGAGTGGGCGTCTGCAGAGAACATCCAGCTGGTCTTCACAACTCAAGCATGACATATTTGAGGTTATGTGGAATTACTTACTACAAAACCCAATTTTATAAACATTGCTAAAGCACAAGTTACTCATTACACTAGAAGTGTTTCAGTCAAATATCAGTTTTGTCAAGCTAGATACATTGCTTATTCAGTTATGTCAATGTAATCTATCCTGAAGAGGTTGGAAATCATTCTTAATAGTCAATAAGTAAACAATAGTTGTTGTTGTTGGTGGTATAATTTAGAGATTATTAGAGATAATCATTCCCAGAGATTAAAGAAATATCAACAGAGTCCTGTTCAAATTTACAAGGCAGGAAAACCTGAGCAGAGGAGTCTGACAGCTCGTCGTGGTAAGCAATAGGAGGAGCAGGCAGTCTTATTTTAGCAACAGGCTATTTTAGCCTACGTGTGCGTGTATTGTGCACGACGTTTGGACTTCGTGTGTGTGCGTTACATATTAGGACACCCTACTAATACTATTAACGAACTTGTGACATTTCCAAAACATCCTGTGCTAACTTTGAGCCTACGGGGCATCTCGCTTGGCTAAAAGCTAGCTAGCAGCTAGCTTACTAGTTATCCGAAACAGCTGCTAGCTCAGCCACAAAGCTGTTTTATTCGTATCCGGTTAGCAAGTCCTGCAAACAGTGCATATGCATCGGTGATTTATATACTTGAATCCCCTGCTGCTGCTCTCAGGTTACGACCCAGTCCCTCCACGTACCGCTAACCTATCACCACTTTCCTTTAGCGCTTAGTTAGCAATAGCCAGCCGCCCCACCAAAGCCCTCTTTCCCCGTCTCTCCCTGCCAGCTCTGCCGCGGCCCTTACCATGTCTGCGGCGGTCTGCGACGGTCTCAGCGGGGCAGGGGAGCACGATGACTTTACACTTTCGCGTTACAGTGATGTAACAAACGTCTTCCCTTGTTTCGTGTTGTTTTGTTGTATTTTTAGTCCCCCTCAGAAGATGTTTTGTTCGCCTCTCCCTCACTGAACCCAGCCCTGTCAGCGAAATTCACTTCCTCAACCGGGCTACAGGAAGGAGGCTGCTCTCAGAAAACGGGCCTCGGTTTGCATGTCCGGGTCACTCTGAGTCTCCTTTGCAACAGCCAATAGCGAAGGAGTGAGAAAGGCATTGCCAAGTATGGAAAGAGAGGAGTGGTGCAGCACATATGAAGGCAGAGAGCGCTGAAGGCGGACAAATTCACTGATGGAGCCATAAACGCTTTACAAACGATGGCTGGAACTATGGAGGACTAAAAGTGCCAAAATGAAATATATAAATATATAATTAATTAAATCATTAAATGTGTCATCAATTATTTAATATTGGGAATACATTTCATTTTGGCATTTTTAAATTTCACTTCATTTCACTTTTAAATTTCATTTTGGCACCTTTAGTCCTCCATATTTAATTAATTAAATAATTAATTATATATTTATTTATATATTTGTTGATTTATTTCCAACATTAAATAATTGATGACACATTTAATGATTTAATGAATTATATATTTATATATTTAATTTTGGCACTTTTAGTCCTCCACAGAAAACTGCTCGTTTTGCTGTAAGCATGACATATTGACATAGGCCTACTGATTTTAAGTCATCGTTTGTAAAGTGTAAATAAATACATAAATAGGCTAAATACGATACAGAGAGGGCTTTCTGTTTCATTTTTACAACAGTTTAATGGTTTGTTTAAATGATTATATAGGCCTATATTTATTTTAGATCTCTATTGAATTTAGTTCTATTTAATCTTTTACCATATGGCAATATGAACACTCAGATAGATTAGGCTTTATGGTTTCATACTTTAAGATTTTAATGATTAATCATTTAGAGATGCAGTTGTTGCTGAAGATGTCGCACATTTTTCAAAAAAAAGAAAGAAAAACAAAAGATCATTGTCATGATCACATTTAACACCTTGAATAGAATAGAATAGAATTAGTTTATTGATCCCAAACTGGGAAATTGTGGCGTTACAGCAGCAGGTTGTCCAAACACACAATATTAGCAAAAAACACAATATAATATTAAATATAAAGTAAATAAGCACTAAAAAATATCAAAACTAATTAGGATTCTGTGATGATAAAGCTGTGAGCTGAGATTTCTTTATAAATGAGATAATGTTTGTGATTTCAGACCTTTTCACAGAGTAACTGACACCAACAGTTTTAAGTTAGATATCCCTCGTGATTAATGCAATTAAAATAAAATAGAAATTGTAAAAGGATCATTCACTGTAAATTAGGTGCTTGGGTAAATAGCAATAGGCCTACCAGGTGCCTGGTGAATGCCTGGTGAATGAGTCCCTAATACTATTAGGTTATATCAAGCTGCTAATAGGTTAATACCAGTTATCTGTACTATAGCCACAACAACGTCGACTTTCCCATGAACTCAGACATCGGCCATCAGCTTCCAGCAGAGGTCTGACCGAGCTGGAGGTGAGTAGCGGATCCCGACTCTCTAACCCTGCACATCATCACCTGTGACAGGATGAACCTGAAGAAGAGTCAGCTAAATGTGCCTCTCTCTTCAGCCTTAACGCTTCCCTTACTTTGTGTACTCTCATTATGAAGTCTCATTGAGGCAGTCTGCAAAGCAAAGAAATCCATGTTGTTTTTCTTTTATCATTAATTCACATGTCATATAGTCATAACTACTTTTTTTTTTGATTTTCCATATCCTGTCAATCATCCGCGGTGCCTATGCACCTGTGAGGTCAGGATAAGTGTGCCATACTTTCAGCAAAACCACATTCGTACTCGCAGATGTATCACGTTTCTGCGAATCTACATTGTTGAGGTTTTACAGAATCTTGGAAAAAAGAGACAGTTTGGCTGTAGAAAAGCTGATCGAGGCTCTCTTTTACTTTTTCTAAAGGGCTCCACATCACTCTGACTTTTAAATTCCTGTTTTGGGAATTAGTCTCTGAGTCCGAGATCTTTTAAAACCTCAAGTGTCTACACTCTCGGGTTTAAACTTTTGTTTTTGTATTTTACTTTTCATATTTTTACTGTTTTGTATTTGAATTTTAAATATCTTTTGAAGTCTTTTCAATACATTTTCTGAACTTTTTGAAACCATTCTCTGACTGAAGTCATTCACACCACAAAGACCGGAGTCTCCCTTAAGGACCCGTGTGAACCTCGGGATGTGGAAATGAAGGGAAACTCTCCAAACGGCCTGTTTGAGCACACATTTTCTAAAAAGTGGAGCAGGCAGAACACCGAGGCTCCACCAGTTAACCACTGATTTACAAAAAGAGACGTCAGCAGAAGCATGATAAAGAAAACACAAGTTCACTGCAACACGATGAAGAAGATCAGAACGTCTTTTACTTTTTAAATACGTGCAGCAGACGTCTGTAAACTGCAGGCGATCTCCCGCTGGTCTGTGAGGAATCATGAAAAGAGAGTGAGGTCGAAGACATTAGACTTTAGTTTATAGTCCCCAAGGGGAAATTCTTTTCCACTTCACAGTAGTTATGGACAGCACGCCGTCAGATAATAACAGATGGACAGGGCGAGTAGTGCAGGTGGAGCAGGTGAGTGAGGACCTCACACACCCGCAAGAGGTCAGATTTTAGCGACAGCTGAGGGAGATTTCTGAACCCGAGTCCGTCCTCTGAGGATCTGACCCGAGGTTTTGAAGGGAAAGTTGTACAGAGGGACACCGAGAGCCTTCAGACTCTCTTTGGAGCGCTGCAGCAGCTTGTCGTATTCCTGCAGGTCACACGTTCATGTCATCAACACATTCAATGAGCGATTGTCTCTGAATAATCCATGAGAATCTGTCTACTGACCTCACAGTCTCGAGCCAATTTCCCCTTTTCGGCGCTGATGGTGAGACTTTTGGACTCCATAATTTTCTACAAGCAGGAGAAGAAGAACAATCAGACGTTTGAGTTAGTTTCAGCTGCTGTCTCTTTGTGTCCTGAACCGGACCGCTTGGTGGCTCATGTAGACTTTAAATAGCGAGCGACCCAGCACAGAGCCTTGTGGTACTCTTATATTTGGACACAGGTAGAAACGTAAGTTTGAAACCGTACCTCAAGTTTTTTCGCAGCGCTGCTGGCCGCAGTTTGGTCGATGTTGGAGGCGGCGAGTACAGCGCAGAGCTGAGCCTCCTTCGTCTCCAGAGTTTCCTTCAGTGCTGCCACCTTCCTCTCCAGCACCATCTCCTTCAGTGCGCACTGCTGCTGCGCGTCCTGGATGGCCTCCTTCTTTTTCTTCAGCAGCTTGTCGCGCTCCTGCTTTACCTGCCGGAAAAAAACAAAAACACTCCCTTTACAGAAACCTGGCGGGCGGAGCGAAGGGAAAACTGGAGATGTGAGCTGGTTACCTCCTCAACGTCCTGCTTCAGCAGCATGTGCTCCATGCCCAGATCACTCAGCTCCTTTTCGATGACCTTCACTCGGGCTCTGGATTTCTGTCAGACACATCAGCAGCAGTGTGAGGGATTTCTTCAAACCAGTATAAGCTTTTTAAGTTGTTGTAAAAAGTGAAACAAATCATTCTGTGTGCTCTCATTTAAAAGGTCACATACTCTGTAAAATCCTCTTCACCATGTTTCTCTAACTCTAATAAGTGTCCCTAGTCTGTCTACAAACCCCCCAATGATGAGAAAAGTCCATCCTCTGTCTTTTGCCTGCTCCACTTTTCAGAAAATGTGTGCTCAAACAGGCCATTTGGAGATTTTCCCTTCATGACATCAAAAAGGGCAGTAGCCCCTCCCCCAGGCGGGTGACACTCCCACAGCTAGGTGTTTGTTCTGCCCTCTGAGTCTGCCTTCTCACTGTAAACAATAGGACATGGAGCGAGAAAGCCAGAGACACCCAAGCCCTTCCAGAGAGGGGGTGTGGTCAGACACCGCTCATTTACATATTTAAAGGTACAGACACAGAAACAGCCTGTTCTGAGCAGGGCTGAAACAAAGGGGTTTATAGACAATGATCAAATACAGGATCAGAGTGGATTTAGAACAAGAAACTTCTCGCACATGTTTTGAGGAGCTCTGAGACTTATTTAAACTGGTTGAAGAGGAGGAGGATATGTGACCTTTAACTGTAGAACTAAGTTAATAACTGCAGCAGGTGACAGTGGACACAGGTGTGCAGAAATAACTCAAACATAGTCAGTACTCTAAGTAGCCTATAGACCGCATAGGAAGCCGGAGACTACTTTGAACTTGAACAGATATCAGATTTATTTCTTCTGAAAGAATATTTGCACAGTGTGCCGTGAACGTACCAAGATCTTGGTCTTGTCCTTCTCGTGTTCTTCCAGCTGTTTCTTTAGCTGGGGAAGCCTCTGTTTGGACTCTTGCACAGACGTCTGCAGACGTTTGTTCTCCTGCACGGCTGCTGCTAGCTTCCTGTCCTCTCTCGCCAGCTTCTTCTTCAACTCCACCATTTCTTCCTGCAGGACCACACACACACACACACACAAACAAAGCTTCACATTACTTTTACAACAGACTGACGTATCACTCCGGCTCCAAGCCATGTTACAGAACCCTTCTAAGACAGCGGGCAGCCTCAGATCATCAGGCGCAGGCGGGGGCCTCATGGTCATTCCAAAAGTCTAGGCTTACATCCAATCAACTTTATGAAGGTCTCGGTCTCGTTTCAGAATCGAAAGCATTTTAACTCGATTTTGTCTCGGTCTCTGACTCGGCGGACTCTGGATTTTAAATCACCACTGACCGGCTGTTTTTCCAATGTCATTACTGAGATTAGAAGGAAAACGTCTCTTTCTAAAAGAATAAATAACTTCAATTCATTTATAGTTAGATTTTTGTCCCCCGGTTATGGCCACAACCTTCCCGGTGTTACGGTCTAAGTGAGGGACACGCCCCCTGAACACAAGATGATGTTTCAGTGATATTTATGGTCTTTGTCTTGACTCGGTCTCGATCCCTAAAAGTCTTGGTCTTGACTCGGTCTCAGAGCTCTTTGGTCTCGAGTATGTCTTGGTCTTGACTCGGTCTCAGAACTCTCTGGTCTCGACTATGTCTTAGGTCTCGGTTACTGTGGTCTTGACTACAACACTACTGCAACGTCCAATCAATGAGTGATATTTGATAAGGGGGCGTGTCTGTCAGTAAAAAGTCTTCCGGGAGGGCTGGTCTCATGTTTCCTCGCTCCTCGCTGCTGAAATAAGACACTTTGACAACAGACAGTCAACAACTTTGGGTTGGAGCAAGGAGCAAGGAAACAATAAAAAAGAGACATGAGACACACCCTGAATCTCATGTGGCGTGCTGCGTAGGTGTCACCTTGTCTTGCAGCTGCTCGAAATAATTTTTTTTAGCCTCGGCTAATAATCCCTTGTGGTGTTGCATAACTTCTTGGTGATCCTCCAGCATGGTCGTTATGCTGCTTTTCGCTCGCTCATCTACCTCCAGGATCGCAGCACTCTTCTTTGCCTTGTGTTCTTCCCACACCGAATGCATTTTATCCTCAAATTTCACCGCCATGTCTGTGTGGAGAACAGCACAGGGGATTGTGAAAAGAGAGAGAGAGAGAGAGGGGCTGGGCTTTGTTTTGAGCTCAGACTGTATGTTATAGTTCACCTCTGAATTTCCTGTCGTATTCGTTATTCAGCTGCAACTGCTCCACCTGCTGCTTCTGTTGGGACACGAAGAGAGAGAAAAATAAAAAATAAAACACAACACAAAAAAAACCCAAAGTGTGAAAACGAACGCCGCCTCACCATTTTGAGCTCCTTGATGCAGGTTTCGTTATGGAACATTTTCTTCCTGTAACTGGCCTGCAGGCTGTGCACCTCTCCCTGCAGCCCCAGCTCCGTCTCTGCGTTCTGGTTCTGGATCAGCGAGGCGGCCGTGAAGGCGTCCATCTTCAGGCCTGACACGGTGCTGTGCTGTTCGGACAGGAGGTTCTTCAGCTCCTGCTTCTGCGTCTGAAGGGGGGCAGCGGTCACACGCACACGAGTTCAGATGTGACGTTCAACACACCCTTTTTTAAAATGAAGTCATGATCATCGGCCCCAAATCCCTCATCAAATCCACCAACAATTTCTCCCTCACCATCGATGGCTCTACAGTGCTGCCTTCCCCCCACATCCGTAACCTTGGACCAAACCCTCTCCTACGACAAACACATCACCAAAACAGCCTTTTTCCACCTCAGAAACATCGCCCACCACTCTCATTTTCAGCTGCCAAGACCCTCACCCACGCATTCATCACCTCCAGATTAGACTACTGCAAAAGTCTCCTCTACGGATCACCATCACACTCACTCAAGAAACTCCAATACATTCAAAACTCTGCAGCCCGTCTCCTCACACACTCCCGCACCAGAGACCACATCACCCCGTTCTTCATGACCTCCACTGGCTCCCCAACCCCCAGCGTATCAACTTCAAGCTCCTCATCATCACCTTCAAAGCCCTTCACAACCTGGCTCCCACCTACCTGTCTGAGCTCCTCCACCAGAACACTCCCACCCACACTCTCAGGTCTGCAGATGCAAACCTCCTGTCCCCCCCCCCTGCAGGACAAACTATCCGTCCTGGGGGGGCCTTCTCCATTGCAGCTCCGACCCTCTGGAACTCACTCCCAAAAAACATAAGAGACTACCCCACACTCACCTCCTTCAAGAAATCCCTCAAAACTCACCTCTTCAACATTGCCTACAACCAGGCACTGGTGGCGCAGTGGTTAGTGCGCACGCCCCATGTATGGAGTCTCAAGCGGGCGGCCCGGGTTCACATCCCACCTGTGGCCTCTTTACCGCATGTCATTCCCCACTCTCTCTCCCTGATTTCCAACTCTATCCACTGTCCTATCTCTCCATTGTAGGCACAAAAAGCCCAAAAATAAATCTTCAAAAATACTAAAAAATGCATCCTTCAAGCCGAGATTTGCATCTGAACTAACGGTCGCTGCACTGAATATGATTGCCTCCATACAGGGGGGCATGTCATAACAGATAAGCTATCTGCGCCCAACCCTGTGTCTTAAAAGACACAATCTAAAAAAATGAGGGCTGCTAAACAACCCTGAATTTCAACAGTTAATCGTGATTAATCGCATGTTTGAAATCCCATTATTTTGCATTTCAAAATAAAACTTGTTAGGCTTTTATTTTGAAATTTTGTACTGTCTTAAGCCGAGAGTACTTTACTTGCTGTGTGCTTTTATTATGAAGTACAGTAAGGCCCTTCCTGTAGAGTGAATGTTTGGACATGAAGTTAAGCACAGAAACAGGAAGTGGTTAAGGATCCCAAAGTGAGGTCAAACAGCTCAAAGTGTGATGTCACAAGGTCAATGTGTGATGTCATAAGGTGGATATTACTTTGGACTCATCTTTGAGTTTGTTTCAGACATTACATCCTGTTTATCGGCTGCAGGCTGAACAAATCTGCTGCTTACCTGTTTATACTCTAAAATAAAATAAAAACTCCGCCTCTGACTCTCTGCCACTTTATCAAATGGTTTCTGCTACAGGTGTGTTTGTGCAGCTCACAGTGATCTCCACCCGCCGGCGCTCCTCTGCCTCCTCTTTCTCCCGCTGTGTGATCCTCAGCTTGGCCTTGGCCTGCTCCAGGGTCCGCCCCCTGATGTCATAGACGGCCTGGGCCTTGTCCCTCTCCAGCTGGAAGTAGATCTTCTCCTCCCGCACTCTGTCCAGCTCCTCCCGGAGGCTGATCATGTGGTCCCACAGCTGACGGAGCAAAAACAAAAACGCTTGAATATGGAGAAGTCCAATCAGACATTTTGGAGTATTTTCACAATATTGCTGAACAATAAATACTACAGCTGCAGTGAATAAAATCAAATAGGCGGTTTAGATCTGCAGGGATTCGATAAAGACAAATCATCGACTACGAGTTTTCTTTAGGGGAATCATCCCGACATGAACCTTCGACTAACACACGCACACATGAACATTCAGGATCCTCAAACGCATCACCTGTTACCTTATAGGCCTGCGAGACAAAAGAGAGAAATATGCAATCTTCAATATCAATCCATCTTTATTCATGAAGCGTCAATTCATATCAGATGTTCTTTGGAGACACTCACAAAGGAGCAGGTAAAATACCTTAAATCCAGAGGGTGGCGGTAATGCCACTCTTTGGATGCCAACCGCCTAAGGTAACTAAACCCCATATTTTCAGCTGTACTGCTCTACCCTGGAATTTAAAGGGGGGCGGGGGGTAAACTCGCCCACTCACTCCTTCGCGCCGTTATCAGCCGCAACATGATACAATGTTTGCCCCACACACACAGTGGCTCAGGCTCAGGGCTCAGTGCGCATGTGTGGGGGTGGGGCAGAGAGTGAGGAGAGAGAGTACGAGGTGAGTGTGTGTGTTCGGCAGTTGTGTGCGAGAGGCACGTTATGATGCCGGGGACCGGAGCAGAATAAGCAGGAGAATGTATCAACTTCGAGAGGGGGGTAAACTCGCCCACTCATTCCTATCGCGCCGTTATCAGCCGGAACATGATACAATGTTTGCCCGACACACACAAATAAACACACACACTTGACTCCCCACAGTTCGCCGAGTCGGGTGACGAGGCTTTTATAGGTTGGTGATGTGGGGCTTTACTCCTACGTCATAATGTACGCTACACAGCCGTTAGAGTTTTTCAAACGGAAGGGCAGACACTCTGCACATTTCTAACACAATATTTCAAATTTCAATACTTTGTACTCAAATGTCGAGATTGGGACTTGGATTGATCCATAGCACTACTTAATACTCAAATACAGAGGTTTGTAGGTGAAAAAAGTGGTTTTAGGGTTTAGTTACTCTTTAAAACCTAACGAAGAAGATGTTAGCTTAGCATGCAGCAGCTCTGACCTGATCTTTGGACATCTCTTTGGTTGAAAGTCCGTCCACCACCGCGGACTGCTTCCCCTTCTTCTTGTCTTTAGCTTTCGGCGGCTGGAAAAAAATAAACACATCGACACGAACATAAACATATGACATATCTGTGATTCTCTGTGACTTTTCGTTTGAAGGAGAGCTTTTCTCACCATCCTGCGGCCTCGTGGATCCTCGTGTTCACGTTTAAATAAGTCTTAAAATGAGCAGAAAGTACGAGCTGCAGATTCAGGACTCGGCTAACTAAATGTGAACAACGGGCGCTGCCATGGCAACGGGCATTCTTAACGACAAAATAAATAAAAAAACAGTTTAAACAATAACACTTTCATCACACTCCTGTTTGATCAAAATTAAAGAACAAGCACTAATAGAAAATCATAATGTTTAGTTAAATGTGATTTTACTGATTCATAATTAAATGTGTGTATTTTGCGGTTAAATTTGAATCAGTTAAGGGGGTGGCCAAAATGAACGTGAACTGCCATTGCTCTCGCGATAACTTGACAAACATCCCTGAGAGTTGAAAACATGGCGGACGAGCATGGACGGAAATGGGACCGCTGCCTTGCTGATACAGTCGTGAAAACAGGTTAGGATATTTTCATACATTTTCAGTAGATATATTACGTGGTCACAAGAAAGTTATTGTGCAGGAAATTGTACCTTGTTAATTTGCTGCGTCATAGGTCTGGACTGCAGGCGACATGCTTTTCTACGGGACATCTTTGTGACAAAGCTGGGATGGAGGTCAATGACCACTTGTACGCTTAATACATAAAAATACGCTACCTGTTGGATATTTCAAGAGGAAGTTGTGATATTTATTACATTGGGATTAAGCTGAGCTTCGTGTAGGCTAGTGAAAAGTAATTTTGAGAGCAACAGAGAATAGAAAGTATCATCAGTGAAGGATAGCACATTCTGTATAGCCGTCCTACATTCAGCCTGCCCTTAAACTTAATTTTCTTACACCATGCTGAATTATCTTCTGCCCTCTCGCCATCATCCACAACTGGAATTTACATTTTACTGTTAAACAGCATTACTCAGCATTACTGTACTGCTCCAGAGTTATTCATTTTCTAACCCGTAAAACTACAACATGTCTCAACCATGGTCTCAACGAGATTTTTGTAAATGAAAACACACAGGGTAAAAAATACTGGGATAAACAGAAGCCTCTCCATTGTAGACAGAGTTAAAATTCAACTCAGACCGCCATCATAGAAACATTTGAAAACTCTTTCCACACCTTGATTAATATGATGACCTTATGATTTCTCTGCTAGGTCTCAGCTTGGCAAACAACTGTTTCCCCCCACTCTACATTTTGAACAGTTTTCCAATATAACTGGTGTCACAAATTAGTTTTCTTTCATTAAACTTTTGTTCTTTCTCTTATCAGACGGATTCAGCTGTAAACTGTATTACTGTATACAATTGGTAATGTAGGTCTAGAATGAAATGTTATCATATATCCTCCCTGAAGGAACTGTTTCTGGAAGAGGAACATTAACTCCACATTGAGCCTGATAAAAATGCCAATAACTTCAACAGTTATCAGCATTCATTTTTGGATTCGAGCAATCAACTGTTCTGGCAACAAGAAATTAGAGACAAAAACATCCACCTATATACAGTCTGAAATACTTTTTGATCTCTGATACATGTATACATTGTTCTGATAATACTTAAGTCACCATTATTTGCCACATAGGTAATGGTAGGCTAATGTATTCGCACAAACATCTTAAAACTGATCTAGGAAGCGGCAAACCTCCGGTGTTGGAAAAAAAAAACCATTGTGGAAGTGAAAACCCTGCACTTCGTTGAGTGTCTGCTTGAGGCTGGCTGCTGAAGCATTTAAAAAGGCCTGTTTTTACAGCAGGAAGTAAATCAGTGTTTCCTCTACCATTATATTGGGATTTAAATGTATAAATCGTTTTTTATCGCCCATTAATAAGCGAACGGTTACCTGATGTGAAACAGTAGATGTTCACTGTCTATCTGTGTTGCCTGTATAAAAAGTTTCCCCAGGTCGTATTTTCCGCATTTTATGCATGTCCTCAACGTCCTCCTCACTCCGCTCCGCTTACAGAGATCAACAGTACAAAATCATCACACACTCCCGGTCTTCACCTCCACAGCCAGAGGCCGTCTTCCACACACTTCTATCAAAATCATCACACACTCCCGGTCTTCACCTCCACAGCCAGAGGCCGTCTTCCACACACTTCTATCAAAATCATCACACACTCCCGGTCTCAGCCAGTGCCTGCAGAGACTGTCGTTTGTAGGATGGAGAATGAATACAGACACACAGACTCCTTCACAGACTTTCACATGTGTATGACCTCTTACCTCCTCTGTAAACATTATGCCGGTAAATATCCAGTGTTTCGCGGCCGATGATGATGCTCGTTTGTGTACGTACGAGCATGTATGACGAGCACGCGAGGGAGAGCGAGCAACAGGTTACTGGTGCAGTTCACCTAACGGACTGCGGTATCGCTACATACACAGTATTTTTGAAAGTTACATATAGCCCCTTTTAAGTTAGGTTGAGACAGCATTTCCAGCATGGAGCATGCAGTAACAGATGGGTTACGTCACTTAGGCGTCGTCCATTAATATTTACAAAGTATCTATGGATTCATCTGTTTAATAAGTGTCACTTTTCATGCTGTATCCTGAGTCTAAAAACAACAAAAATGCCACAATTGAAACCGTCAGATTCTTAGGGGCAAAAGAAGACCACTATACCTTACTATTTGAAACGGCCATGTTTGAATAACTGCTGAAACCATCTGTTATTTAACAATACATGGTATTTCTTCAAGACTGTTATATTGAAAAAAGCCTTTAGATGTTTTGTTTTCATCCATCAGGCTCTGGGCTTCACAGCCCGCCTGACAGTGCTAGTCAGAATGCCATTGGGTCTTCATACAGGAATTTATCTGTGCTACTTCAAACTGTGTTTGTTCTGCACTCAAATACTCAGACTGGCAAACAATCTGTCCCAAAACGCACTTAATGACGTCAACTTCAGTATAATAAATAAATATGTTTCTTGCTTTGAGGAAAAACATCTGCTTCGTGGCATATATTTTAGCTCACCCAGAGCAGCTTACAGCCAACTTTGCTAAGATATCTCTAGTAGCCAGAGAAATGTTGCAGGATAAAAGTAAGGAGGGAGACACTCCAGCACATCTCTTCATTACAGTAACCAACAGTCTGTATTCAAATGTGTTTAGGGAATACTTCTTCACTACAGACTTGTTTTTTTTCTGTTGATTAAAATACCAATCACATTGTTGTTGAAATATTCTGTGTTTATATTTGTTCTATGGTCAACCTGGTGGACCTTTTTTTTCAGTGTCCTTATAGCTTGTTTCAAGAAACAAGTTTGAAATGATTCCAATCGAGCCATTATATCTTAGCAAAGTGCAAAAAGACACATTTCTTTAAGAAATGGTGAAGACCTGATTTAATTGTTTTAATGTCAAACATAATTTCTAAAAGGGGGGGTGATATTTTTCTCTCTAGCAGTCTTTTTGTTTGTTCTTGGCCCAGATCGTAAGACCAAGTGAAAATCTATGAATGGCTGACTAAAGCGTTACGTTACCCTTACTGCCCTATAATACAACATGTGTTGTATATATGACAGCTGCTTTTCAAGATGAATTTGAGCGTGAACAATCCCCTTGTGTCTTCTGACAGTCACACACCACCTGATTATTTTTTTAAGCATAACAACCCTCAGTTTGAAACATACTCACAAAGCTGAAGGGCTTGTGTTTAGCAAGTACAATGTTAACAATGCTCACCACAGTATAGTATTTTAGAGGGCTAACAATTGCTATTTAGCGCATAAATCAAACTAGAGTGGAGAATGATGGGAATATTATGAGATTTGAAAATATTTCATTAACCAGAGTATTGCAGAAAATGAAAGTTTGACCTGATCTGTGGGTATTGAGGGCATTGTCATGTGTACCAAATCTCTCGGGAGTCCATTAAACAGTTACAACTTGTTGAGAAAATTCAGTTAGAATCTGTAATTGATCCCAAGGACTACAATCCTATCATGGCTTAAAACTCAAAATGATAAGTCTGTAAGTGGGCTTTAGATGTGTTTTGAATTAAATTCACATAATCCCTGTGATTGAAAATAAATATTTTTTATTTGATGCCTTTTCCAGAAAAACAAAAAACTAGAAATAATTCAAAACCGAATTACAACACAATTTCCATTTTATTACTTTTTACAGAGTATTTTCTGGCTTATGGGTTATACATTTTATTCTGCTCCAGCACAAATGTTTTTGTTATAATCAATCCCTTTGAGATGTCCAGACAAAGAGAATAGATGCCAAAATAACATACTGATCTGCCTTCGTATTTTGCCAATGCTTTCCCTGCATTACTCTCTGTGGGAATCCAGAGGCTCTGGAAAAGGAGCAAAGAATGCCACAGACGGTGAACTTTAAATCTAAGTACATCTTAGCTTGACATTGATGCAAAGGACATGAATAAGTTGTTGATCTGTGCTTCTAATATGAGCATGTGGTGTGTTTTGTGGTCTTGTTTGACATTTATAGGTTGTGTAATAGAGAACACTCTGAGGGTTCTGGTTCAGAAAAATTGGTCATGCTGCATAGCTCCCTGAATCCAATTAAAAGTCAGAGGGGCCCAAATGGCTGTTTTTTTATGTGTTTTCTGTGCTGGCTGGGCTGCTGTTGGGTGTGCTGTGGCCTGCAGCAAGGTGGAGTTAAACGCACAAACACATTCCTCCTCGAAATCCTGCTCTGGTCTGAACACTTCTAACAATTTGGCCAACTTCTGTGCCACTGACTGACCTTCAACTTTTCCGTACTGGGTCAACATTTGGGTTGACATTCACTTACCTATGTGCGCTCTTTGACCCTGCACCTCTCCCGCCTCCCACCTCATTGATACTGTTGTTCCTCTTTTCCCCCTCTCTCGCACCCCTTTTACTGTTTTCGTTCTTCGTTAGAGGTTTGTGCTCTCGCTGCTCTTTTTCTCCCTCTCTTTTCCTAATGAGCAATGTCTTGCTGACTTGTGCTTTTTGCTAACTCTTGCATCAAACATAATAGAGGCACCCCACTGGCCTCATTACAACAGATTTACATCTGTGTGTTTTATACTGGATGAGACATGATCACATTACCTCAGTACTTATGTCAAATGTTTTGGATGTGTAGTTTAATCACATCAGTCAAACTTCCTTTTTTTTCTTCTTCCTCCGTGCAGTAACGGGCCTTGGTGTGGGTGTTGTGTTCTCCGTCCTTCTCTTTAAACGTAAGTACATTTTCACATCATAAACTACAAAATGCACTAATTCAAAATGTCATTCATGGGTGCATGTTTCTCTTCACCAGGTCGCACATGGCCCATGTCATTGGGTTCAGGGTTGGGACTGGGCATGGGCTACTCCAACTGCCAACATGACTTTAGATCACCATATCTCATACATGGCCACATGGCTAAGGTAGGTACAGATGGTAACATGTTTGTTTCAGGTTTCTGACACACATGAAGCCACATTTTTTTTTGTACTTTTCTTCACAGGACCAGCAGTGAAGGATGAAAGATGACGAGAGTTTGCCATGAAGGTGCTCGTCTGTTTTCCTGTCATGTTTTGCAGCTCATTTCTGTCTTGGCACTTAAATCCCACCATGCCCAAATTGTGTTTATCAAAGGGCAGTCGATATATGTATATTTAATAAAGTGATCGAGAAAAGACACTCTCTTTTTTTTGTCTCTGTTTTCTTCTGTGTGCATGTTTGAGAAGAATGAAATGTGGTTTTGGGGGTGGGAGGTAAATTTGTGTGTTAATGAGCAGGGAGAGTCGAACTCCTGCTGTTTTGGAATGAGGGCCAGGTTCAGCATCTGCAACCCTGTTAGTTCTATGAAAGTTTCATAGAATGATGGAAGAAAGAAAATACAGTTTGTTGCAGGGTAATGCTAGTGTTGAAGGAGCTGTTTAAGAATGTGTGTTTTAGTTCATTTGTGATTATTATTTAGTTTCTTTGTTTCCATGCATGATTGAGTGGGTTCTTTTTCTGAAAACAAGAAAGTAACCCACTCTGATCTTCACTGAAAGAATTTGCACTGAGTTGCATTTCTCTGCAGTTCTGTACTGCATGAATTTGATATTTTCTCCAGTGACTGTATCTGTTTCTGTGACATACAGTCCCCATATAAGGAGCAGTCTCTTACCTTTTTGTGTATTCAGTAACGGTGTTCTTTTGGCAAGATTCTTTGGAGTGTGATTGATGACTTATGTTTGGTTTCATGGGCCTGCAAGGAGAGAAGACAGATTGATTGTGTGAGCGTGCACACACACATTTATCCAGCCCCCTGGTGAAGCACAATCCTTGGAATGCAGAGGAATGCCATTTCTGGCCCAGAGCTTGGTCTTATTACAAACAGGTGAGTTCTGCACTTTGCACTCTGAACACAACACATGGTTTACACTCTCACATCAAAGAAAACATTGGTGCATGCATACATATTCATTTTCCCCCTCTCCTCTACAGAAACAGTTTTCTCAGCAATGCAAGCACATAATAAGCAATTTAAGATATTGAGCCATGTCACTCGTCACCTGTCCATTAACATATTTGTTTGCAAGTGAAGCATGAAACCGATATGGGTGCTTATGGACAGGAGCCAGGCTGAACACCTGTAAGCATTGCTGCGCTGGTAGGATTAGGATGGAGTGCAGGAATGAGGTGTGTTGGGGGGTGGGGGTGGAGGGCAGTGACACGGTCCAAAAAAACAATAGATCATACCTGTCTGTGCCTGTCTGAAAATTCTTTGTGATGAATCATGATTAGGATTGAAATGTGTCCTTATCATATTGGTGATCTAAAGGCTCAGAACTATTGGTGAATTTCTGGCCTGATTTATAAGACCAGGTGTGCAATGTGTGCTGCTTCTGATGGTACCTTCAGAGGAGCCAATAAGCCTTGAGTATACCTCGGGTGGAAATCTGATAATTTCATGAAGGACTATACTTACTTACTTACTTATACTTATACTTATACTGGACAATTTGAGACTGTTGTTCACTGTTGAAAAATTGCTCATGAGTACCATTTATTGAGGTAGTTTAAAATACCAATCAGAAGGCTGTCCTCCGGTGGATGTGTTATCCATTAATTGATTTAATAGTTATTAACATTACATTGTGAAAAAATTAATGATAATTATACTTTTATGTCTTCAGGTTTTTATCAATGCTGATGTGTTCATGCGTAAGCTAAGTTACACTAAGAAGTCAAAGGCCTATAATATACTGCTTAATAACTTTATGTATAACAGTTCATTGTTCTCCATAATCCCATATGATTTTCAGGGTATGTGGTCATTTTTAAAGTCAATTTGTTACTGAAATACAAAATACACATACATGCTCCAGAAATGTAGTCAAACTAAAGTAACTTTAAATTGCTTAAAATAAACTTTTTTATATAACTTTGACTCTAAGGCTCTCCACGTAGTTAGATTGTGTAGTGTGTGTATGTCTTTGATGATCTGAGGACTTTTTCATCCACTAAAAGCTACTGATTTAAGCAAGAACAGACATTAACATTTACTAGCTGACAGAGGGATCATATTCATTTGCCTTTGAGGCAGGCCCAATATTCCTTGATGAATTTTATTTTTAAGGCTGAAAAGTCAGCAAACCCAAAGGACATTGTCTTTCAGCAACACAAGGATGTGTTTTCCTTTCAGACACACTGGGGGGCTTTTATTAAATCAAGTAGTCATGAGTTTAGGGTTAAATAAAATGCTTTTCATATGATTTCAACTTGTGATTTTAATTTGAAGAAAAACGTTTTGGGGAAAAGAATTAGAGCATTGGCCCACATCTGTTTTCCAGTTTATGATGGACTATCACAGTGTTATAAGTGTGTTAATTTAAAAGTCCAAAACCATATGTTAGTCAAGTAGCCTATAATGCCAAAGGCGTACCCTATGTGTACAATAATAAAATCTTTGTTTTATTTGCATTTTTGTCCTGTAAATCTGATCTGCGCTCTCGCCTCGCTCCTACTTTGGGAAACATTTGAAACCTTCCCAGCTTTACCCTCCCTCCCCGTTTTCTCTCGTGCAGAACCAGCACAGCAGGACCCCTGTATGAGTGCTCAGCCGCGCTTAACCCCTGCAAGAGAATTTTACAACAAAAAGCAACAAGTTGAAAAGTGTTTTTCATTGGACTTACATGGGAATTTAACAGAGGACGGGGAGAGAACAAGGGGAGGGGACGGCCTGCAGCTGATGGACTCGGGAGATGAGATAGTGCGCACAACCTTCGCCATCTCCCCATCCTTCCCCACCGGACGGACGCTTCTTTTTCTTTCCGGATGATGTAACTGTTTTATGACAGCCTTGGCTCGGATTTATTCTCGCCACGAACAAAGTGCTCATACTTTCCTTTCATTTGAAGTGCACGGTGATATCCGACGACGAGCCCCATCCTCTAGTTCTTTGGGGCCCGTGTCCAGGTTTTGGTGAGGGGGACTCTGCTCAGCAGGACGTTACGCAGTGCGAATCGGCTGTTTCCCCGGGATCGATGAGAGGTGGTAAGTGTCCCGGTGGAAGTGTCCTGCAGCTGGGGCTCATCAGAAAGTAGGCCTACTTAAATTAGGTGTTATTAGTTGTAGCCTTTAGTAACGTTATTGATAGGATACTCCTGTTGAGAGTTACGCTTGATGACCACTTTTAAAAGGGTGCACGTTACATTCTCATTTTTTCTTCCCTACCTTAAGATTTTTATCCGGGTTGGCTTGCTGTACCTTTCCTATTTAACGACATGAAGGCTGCAGACTGTACCACCTTGGTAGCCCATTAAAAGGAAAATCGCCGGTAACAATCCGGAAATTCTTTTCGACCAAGCTATATGGCTTAGTTGAAGTGAAACGTGGGAGATTAAGGAGAGCTACTAGACTTATTGAGGCTACCTTCGTTTTGGGGTTTCACCCGTTAGCCTACCCTTTAAGAAAATTAAGTGACGCCAACGAAGCTTGCCTTTAAACACAATTCAAACTCCGACATGGCAACTTCAGCTATTTAAAGTTGGCTATGCAGGAAAACAATGTTAATAGAAGTAACGTCAAGTTACAGTAACGCGTTACCCCGGAAACATTAATATTCAGGGGGTGCCCAGACTGTGGATCGATAGTTCACACCCACAGGTGCACGTGTGAACACACATGCCTCATTTGCACCAAAGAGAGTCCAAGATAGACTAAAACGTCTGCAAACTATTTTTTGTTGTCTGTAAGCCCAACTATGATTCAATAAGAAGATATCCTATCAAGACTCCAGTCTTTTCTCTTGAGAGTCCTTGGTTTAGTCACTCTTTGTCCATAGTCTAAACACTTGTTTCTCATCAAAAGAGGGGAAAAATAGATATTTATTAAACACTCCCCCCCCCCCCCCTCACAAAATCACATCCCAGCAGTCTTCTTTATTTTTTATTTTCTGTATACAATATTAAAGGATATATAGTTTTTTGTGGGTGGTGTCAGAGGCACAGGGATAAGCTGAAAAGTGTGCAAAAAAAGTCTGTGTGGGTGACCTCAAGACACTTTTTTACAAGCAGCAGGAGAAAACGATTTTGTAGGTTGTAAATGACGTGACTGGTTTAGGCATTTTTAGAGGAAGGTGAAACACTGGGCGGCAGACTTGGTATTAGAGTCAGGTGGGTATAAGGAGCAGACCATTATATTGTCTCTTTGGGAACAGAATAAACTTATCTGGTGATTCAGATCCATATACATTTTTCTCTTTTCATAATTCAACATAGTATAATATGGTAATTGGACAAAAGTGAACTTGCCAAACACCAGGAAGTTGTCATCCAATGATGCAGGGATATGCAAAGGTCAGTTTTGTATGAACAGTCAAGAAAGACCATATTCTCACTCGCATACAAAAATGAAAATTAGGAGATTTCGTGACTGTATTTCACTGAGTGCTTTGTCTAGAACGAGGGTTAATGGAGCTGTGAACACATAGTGGTTTTCTGCCCCTTTAGGTGCAGTCATGTGGAGGATTCAGATTTGCTGCGCACTGTTTGCACTGTATTCAGCGGCACCGCCTGCACACATCAACCGTCTGGCGCTGTTCCCTGACAAGAGCGCCTGGTGCGAAGCCAAGAACATCACACAGATAGTCGGGCACACGGGATGTCAGCCTCGCTCTATTCAAAACAGGTCAGGATGAAGGCCCTCTCTGTCTGACCATCTCTCCGTGCTGCTGGAAACAGTGAATCTATACCAGCGATGTGTGGCAGTCAATAGAATGTATCCTCAGTGTTGTGCTTCCTTCAGAGAATCAGAGCTGCTACTTCAAAATCCACATTACATTTATTTTGCATGTTGTAGACAGTGTTTCCTGTTATCACCAATAACCAACATTTAGTAGAAAACTATGGGAAGTTTGAAAAAGATTAACAGGCCTCTTTGTTACAAAGTAATATTTGAAACTGGTCATGGATGCTGGAATTTTTCAAACAAAGACAATAAAACTTCAGTGCTAAAGTGTTACCTTTACTGAGGATTATTTCAAGTTGATTTGTTCCTCAAATGAGTAGTTTCAGCAGCAGTTTGTGCCACCATGTTTATGTAAATGAACCAGGTGCAACATTATGGGTCAGTGATGTGTTTTAACAGCTTAGTTGATGACAATGTCAGGGTAATGAACTGTAATCAATGAACACAACACAAAATAAAACCAGTCATGTATTCTTTCCTTCCCTTCCTCATTGCTTCCCATGTTTAAAAGGAAAGTAGTTGTACAAGGACACATAGTCACCAAACAGGATTCAAGTTGTCCAGGGCTTCACCTAACATTTATGAATAACAGGACAAGTGATTATGTGTTTAGCCTGGGGTTACCAAACATCCCAAACTCTTTCTTCCACAGGCATGAACATCCTGTGTCTGTTTGAAAATAATTCTCTCTGTCCTCCTCGCAGAGCCTGCCTGGGCCAGTGTTTCAGCTACAGCGTCCCCAACACATTCCCACAGTCCACAGAGTCTCTGGTGCACTGTGACTCCTGCATGCCTGCCCAGACACAGTGGGAAGTGGTAAGAGTTATTGCACATTAGCTCATGTAGCAAGCACACAGCAACACCGACTTGTTGAACTCGCACTAAAACCACAAGTTTCCAACATAAAAGATGGCAATCACTGCTCGCTGGCGAACATCGAGCCCAGGAATTTTTATTAGTTTTCTGCCACAATTTCTGCTGTTCCCAATGAACATTAAGCCTGTATTTGATATTCCTCTGGAGCTCATTGTCCTTCTCAGCCTGAAGGAATCCAGTCTTGCGACAACAAAGGCTTTGTGGTGAGGTGTATGTAGTTTGGAAAGCTGCCAGGTTGGGCTAGGCGGGTGGGACCACAGGTGAGGTTGCCTCATGTTTCAGTGGAAAATATTGTATCCGCTGGAGTGAACTGCTGTTACCTGATAGATCAGTTAAATGACTTTCTATTTTTGTTGCAGGATAAAGGCCAGGGAAAGTGCATCTGTAGTCTCACCTTCATTCAAATTATCTGGAAGTGGATGTTTATGTCTCTGGTTGTGATTGTTGTTGCAAGACTTTAAAGTAAATTCAGTATGAAACAAAACAAAGTTGTTTCTCAGGAAAGGGGATACTGCTCCACGCTGGTTTGGCACTGGTGGTAGATTTTTGGTAAAACTGCTGAATGATCATGTTAATTCCGTAAAGTCACTTTTAGGGGTAGTTGTGTGAGAAGAGCTTGTGCTACGCTGAGCTTTGGATATTAATATTTTATATATTTTCTCTTTAATCCATATTAAGTTTTTCTCAAGACCTCTTTACTCCATCTTCAATGTAAAGTTTTATCTCAAAAAAGCAAAGAAGAAAAATAAACAAGTAGTAAGTATCTGATAGATATGGAACCAACAACAACAACAACATACAACTACATTCACAATATCATCCTTATCATACAGCAGCATTTACATATAACAACAAATAGAACTCTTCCTCAGAAAGAAAAAAACATGAACTATCCTTTTGTAAATAAATAAAAGTACCTCCCATACACCAAAAGAGTATTATAGTTGCGTGACTTTCCCTCACTCATTCATTAAAAGTAAATTAATTAGAATAAAAAAAACTATTATATTCTTTGTCAAAATATTTTTTTAATTCAAGAGTCAATAGATACTAGAGTTTACTCAACTTTGTTTTTTACGTCATCACTTTTTTTGCAGGGCAGGACACAAAACATAGTTTGGATTAATTATGAAGTAACTTGTCTGTGTAAAGGGGTTCTCAGTCATCCAGGTCGTGGTAAATTTGAAGCTTGAGCCAAAGGCAACTGGACTTGTTGACGATCCTGAAGATGTTTCACCTCTTCTCCCAAAGGCATCTCCAGTTCAGAACTGTTCAGGACAGTTCACATTAACGTATTTTAAAGTTATTTTAAGTTTGCATACATGCATTAAACACAAGGTCACATAGGTCACAGTGCTGAGAATGAAAATCAACAAAAAAAAAAAAGAAAAAGGTAGTACAAAATGTATGTATTGTGCATGAAAACAAAAAGCTAAATTGTGTTAAAATAAATAAAAAATAACCCAAAAAAAAACATATTTAGAGGCAAATAAGCCTTTGACTTTGTTGTGTGTAACAAAAGCGCTTCATTTTTTGTGTGTGTGTGTATAAATATTGAATTGCATGTGTGTAACCAGGTTACTCTGGAATGCCCGGGTGCAGAGTCTCCTCATGTGGATAAGTTGGTGGAGAGGATCTTCCACTGCAGCTGCCAGTCTTGCAGTAAGGAAGGTGGCCAGGAGGGGGCGGTGATGCAGCTGTATTCAGCAGACAACGTTCTTGAGGTCCCCACTTTATCTGACACCCTCAGTGGTGCCCAGTCCCACCCTCTGCCCCCTTCAGACTTGCACCCTAAGATGCATGCTCATGCACACACAGACCACCACACACTACCACACACATCAGATGGAGGGTAGGTGTGACTCTCTCTGTCACTCTGCTCCTCTGCTCTGCCCTCTTTATTCTCTGTAGTATTGTAAAGGCACTTTAAAAATAAGGCTTCACACACACTCACAAAGTCATGCTATCAGTTCACATTCTATTGTATATAAACACAGACAGAAACACAGCAGCCTTTGCACTCCTTTGTTTTCCGATTTAACAGCATATGTGTGCATACGACAAAACTACAGTCTGTCTCATTTTGCTTAATCTACTTTAATGCAATAAATCCCATTGTTGTTATAAAAGACAATTTTTGTATTTAATTATATCCATACAAATAAAAAACTTGCTCACATTTTATGTGCAACAGCTTCCTCTCATTGTTTGTTAAATTAAGGCTGTGTCTTTATTACTATGTGGGTTTTTGCCAAAGACAAACTTGTAGGTTTCGGTACCACTTAGATCTGCATGATGGGAAAAAAACACTTCTGTTGCTTCTTCATTGGCCCCATTCTGATCATACTGATGGAAAGTCCCATATCCATCCATCTTAGTTCTCTTGTTCTGTGTAATTAAATCTGAGCAGCGAAAAGGTTGACTGTCTGTCTGTGCTGCAAAACAAATCGATCATCCTCTTATCTCCTGGCTGCACAGCTGACAACTCTCCGAGACCGTTGGAAGGCTGACGGCAGAGGGAGAAACTCAGAGGAACATTTTTGGGGGTTTTCGAGCTGATTGTCTTTATCAACTTGTTTATCAAGCTGTTAGTTTTATTTCACTTTTTTTTAGGGGATTTTGCCCTGATGCTTATCATCCTCACTGACACCTCTCACTTCTTCCCGTCTAAAGAGATACATGTTTTCTGGCTATACAATTTTGGGTGATTATTATATTATTTCCATCTGTTGGAGAGGTACATACAGGGACTCTTTACAGCCTGTGACTCAATTGTAATGCAAATGAAACTCATTTTCCTAAGATGTTATCTGATAATCTGACTGATCTGAAATGCATTATTTGTTCTATAGCAAATGTCACTTAATTGGAAAGAGAAAAGGAGCAGGTTTAGGCTTTTTAATGGTAGGTTTTAAATGTTGTCTTCGGTTAAACGTCTTTCACACCCTTAACATGACCTGACTTTTCTGTAACAGTGTAGAGACTGTAGGCTACCCTGGACCTGGAGCTATATGACCTGTACACCATCTAAAAAAAGAGTCAATACTTTAAATGGATCCATTCTGTATACCCTACATAGCCTTTCTAAATCCTTTACATCACTTTCATTCATTAGTTTCACCTTTCATTTAGTGTATTTTGTACTTTTAGGGCAGACTGGTTTTTGCTATGAGGGACAAAAAATGACTAAAGTATAAATAAATAAATGTTGGGAGAAATGCATACAGTAATGTATAAATTAATAAATAATTAAATAAATGCATCAATAAATATATAAATAAATAAATATATATAAATAAATGCAACAATTCATATATAAATTAATATATTCATATATTTATTTATGTATTTCTGTGTCCATGTTGTACAAGGAAAAGTAAATATGTAAATTAAGTGGGCTGTCCTAACATTACTGAAGTAGGATTGGTCAATTTTGAAAAACAGACAGAAGCAAATTTACATATATACTTTTCATCTTACCACCTGGAAACAGAAATAAATAGATGTGTAAATGTAAGAATACAGAAATAAATTAATAACTCAATTAATGTCGAAATGTATGCATTGATACATATATAACTGTAGAAATACGCTAATAAATAAATAAATACATGTAAAAATATATAAATAGCCCTTTTCATTATCCCAACATTTATTAATTTATTAATTTATTCATACTTTAGTCATTTTTTGTGCCTCATATTTGCATGTTGTGCTTGTAAATCAACTTGTTGTATTACCGCGTGAGCGCGCTCTGTACGCGCGGCCCGGGTTGGTTCAGACGCGCAGAGGCTCCTCAAAGCATCTTCACTACTGCAGCGCTGGCTTCAATTTACACCTGCTTTCTTCCTGTTTTTTTTTTTAAATAACTGGCATCAAGTATTATTATTACTGGCTCCATAGATATTCTTTTTGTTTTACACTGAAACTTAAAGCTGCAGGTCGATCAGCGGGAGAAGAATTCAACAAAAACACCGGAAAAATTGACGGGATTTGTTCTTGGAGGTAGGCAACTAATATTCGTATCATGTTTTGTAGCCAATAGGATGCAAAGGCAAATTAATTAGTGGTCAAGAATACATGTTATCACAGTTTCTTGACAGAAAAGCAGCGTAACGATGAAAAAGCTAAAATTGAAAAATAACTTATAGGCTTAATTATTTAGCCTACTCGGTAAAGCCAAAAGAACAAAAAGCAAATCGAAAACCTATTGGTTTTAATCAAACTGCTGAGACAGCTCTGAGAGGAGCAAAACATGAGTTCTGTCCAGTGTGACGTTACCATCTCTGGTTCTAGTCTAAGCTCAGCTGCAGGTCATTCTAGGGTTAAAAGGTTTCACCTCACAAAGAATCTTATTGGCATCCGGGCTTTAGTGACAAAGCTCCTAATCGATCAGATCGACCAGGAGTGTGTGTGTGTGTGTGTGTGTGTGTGATGCGACAGGAGACTAGCCTACAGGTTCCACATTTAAATAGCCTGATGAGGTATTGTCTGCTTAAGGACAGTGAGAGGGCAGAGTTCTGTATGTGTCTTAATATTCTTATTTAAGGTTTCACCATGTGGGCAAACAAAATAAAAGCAGTGTGTCAAACAGAATCCAGAATGGAAATAAAATAACCTTTACTCATGTTTTTGTTGTGTGATTCTGTTAATTATAAGCTGAGAAATTACATTTTAAAAGCTTTGAATCACTTTAATACAGATTTTTTTCAAATCACTTACATACTTAGATACATGCCTTCTGAGGATGCACAGTGAGTCTTCAACAGCACCACAACATCACTCTGCATCTCATTGTATCCCAATTGATAAATCACTAATGTGTGTCCTCTCTGTCTGTGTGTCGCTCCAGGATGTGTGGTATGGATGTGGACCTGGATGACGGGGGCTCTGGCGAGGAGGAGAAAGAGGAAGAGCTCTGGATGGGGGAGGTAGTGAAGATGCTGCCCCCGCCCGTGGCCCACAGTGGGGGCAGTGCGTGGGGCAGTCGGCGGGGTCGATGTGGCTGTGTGGCGTGCGGGGCGGGTCTTGTCTTCTGGAACCTGTGTGTGGTTTTAGCCAGCGCTCTTCTCCTTGTCATGGTCTTCTCTGTGGTGCTGCTGCCTGCCATGCTGCTGCTGTATGTCGGCTTCCTCTGCCACTCCAGGGTGAGTTCACACAGAACTGTGGGCTCCAGTTAAGCGATGTTCTCTTTTATTTGTGCATATGGGTTACTGACTAGGATACTGGTATCAGGGGCATGTCCAGACCCTTTTGACTGGGGTGGCCCATCTGGGACACTGACTAATACAGGGGTGGCCCAAAGTATGATGAATGCACAAACTCACAAATAAATATCAGTTATTTACCCTTTCTAACCTCACACATCATTTCTACTTCATAACAGAATCAGAATCAGATTTATTGTCCAGGTATGTTTACACACACAAGGAATTTAACTTTGGTGAAGTGTGCTCTCTTATGTACAGGTACAACATTAAATATCAACAATAAACATAATAAGAAAATACTAATATTTACATGACTAAACATGAAACAGTGCAGTGGTGAATGGTGCAAAAGATGCTGAAGTAACATGATAATAAGTAAAATGCAGTTATGTGACAGATTGGTCAATTAAGATGTCAATTACAGTATTCACATAAATAAGTGTGCGTATATTATCATTTAAATTAAATAATATATATATACATATATGTATATTCACAGTGATGGTTTGGTTTAGAGTCATTTCACCGCGACAGTTCTGACACTCTGTGACTGTTTAGCGTTCACCAGAGTGACAGCCTGGGGGAAGAAACTGTTCTTATGACGGGTTATTTTTGCGTACAGTGTTCTGTAACGCCTGCCAGAGGGGCGGAGTTCGAAAAGTTTGTGTCTGGGGTCACGAGATAATGGCAACATTAGCTTAATTTTTAATGACACAAAAAGAAGATATATAGGCCTATGTTTCAAAGTCACAATTTAATGTGGGACTTCAAAAGTTCATGCAAACTCCTGTACTGTCTAAGTTGCAATATTTTGGCCCTGACAGACTGCCAGTAAGTTCATTGCAAGTATGACAGTGTGTATTACTTTCCTATCCACCTTTGCAAAAAAATGCCTAATAGTTGGTTTTAAAATAAGCCCCGCTTCCGATAGGGAAAATAGCCAATCACAATTTAGGCTTTTTGGGGTGGCACATGGGGTGGCATCACATTTCTAGGATGGCCCATGTCACCCCTCTGGACACGCCCCTGACTGGTATTGACAGCTGAACCACTGATAGGACTTAATATAATAAATATCAGTCTGCAACTGAGCGACATGTAAAAAAAACTGCATTAGCTGAGGTACTGTTTGACTGGGACAGGTCCATCAGTAAGATGTCAGACACAGAGGATGTTGTTTACCACTAACTCCAGCAGTATAGTGCTTACACAATGCAAAATAACATGATATAAATGTAGTTCATAATTTATAACTTTTTAATACTTCTATGTTCTGTCTGTTTTTTGTTTTCAGTCGCCCACTTTACGGCAACTGTGACTGCAAAGTAGACTGAGATAACAATCTGTTGTGCAGATTAAAACCAACAAATTCTTTATGCAAGTAGGAACACGACGGAGCAACTTTATCTACATAAATTTCTGCACAAAGTTGTGGAGAGTGTAGAGTGTGGAGGCTGTATTACAGTAGTGGAGTTAATTGTGAACCTTGTGGAGTAGTCGCTTAGGAGCCAAACGTTTCCCTAGGGAATTGGTTAAAAAGCACAACAGAACTAAAAGGAGATTGCTGCAAACTTAATATTCATCAGATTAACCCAATGATTCCACATGAAGTTCTGTTTGCTGACACATTTTCTACATCAAAATGAAGGTAATGTGTTTGTAGCATTTTTCTGCTGCCCCCAAGTCACATAGTTGTAATAAGTGCAACTCCTGACAGTATGTTCACAAATAATCAACAAAAGAGGGAATCTACACTATTCACACTTCTCCCTTTATACTTTCGGCAAGATAGACCATATTTACTCAGAGTGGGAAGATTATCCCTCTTAAAATCTGGCACTGGCATTGGGAGCATAGGGCGGAAAAAAAGGCCTTAAGGCAGAGTCTTTTTGGCAGTATAATTTAGACAAAGGTGTCCAGGCTTATTCCTCATATTTGGGCTGTTTTGTTTTCATTTTAAACCACAGGCTCATCCAAACAGATAATTACTGAGCATGAACTGTAGAGCCTGTCAGAGAGTGATTCTTGTAATGAGGTGAGGATTTGGGTGTGCCTCATGTTTTGAAAGGCAAACAGATCATGAGGAAAATACTGAGTCCTAGCCATCATGCCAATTCATGCTGAGAAGATCTACAGATCTGTCCTTGGATCCGCAGACAGGTCATAAAATGTCACCCCGGCTTCACAGCAGGTGGTCCTTTAGCCTGATAAACTGGTCGTCTCAGTTATTAATGATTTATAGTTTCTGAAGTCTGAGCAGTGTATGATGGAGCAGAAGAATTTGAATTGAATTGAAGTTTCTTTATTTCGAGCATGTGAAAGAGAGAACAGAAAACCTACAAATACGTATAAAAAAATTAAGTAATTTGTACAAACAATGAAACACATCATACAAAAGACGTTTTTAAACACGTTTTTATAAAAAAATAATTCATACATACATATATTTTGTGTCAATATTTTAGTCAAAATAGCAGTTATGTTAAAAAAAACCCTGTTTAAAAGATGTAAAGTATCTTTGCAGACGGAGCATATGTCAATGCAGAATGAACAGGTTAGAGCTGTCTACAGAAAAGAAAGACCTGCTGAGGTGACGGGAATGTTGGATCTGGTGCCAACACCAGCTGTGCACAAACACACAGACAGCACGTCGAGGAGGAAAATGTACTTGGTGAAAGCACATTGTGCACTTGACAGAGGTGTGACCGTGTGTGTGTGTTTCTGAGCACGTGCTAAAATTACTGTTGCTATGGTACATTTGTTAGAGGCAAAGTTCCTTTTGAAAAAGCTTACAATAGGCAATGTTCCGACATAATCAAATCATTGTGAGTATGTCAGAGTGTCTGACAGATGAGATAATGTGCTTGTGCTTAATGTGTTTGTGTTTATTTGTCCCGTGTGTGTTTAACCCTGATGTATGCTATTCTCCAGCTGCTTACCGCATATGCAATCTGATGTCAGCCCCCGCCCTCTTTTTCCTTATTTATTCATTGTTTGGTTCTTCTCTCGACATTTTTACCTTCTCTTCAACAATTCTTTTATCCCAGTCTCTTTCTCTCCTGGCCGCCTCCTCCTCCCAGCTCGCTGTCACAGGTGATTGACAGCTCAGAGGGTTACTGACAGCCACTGAGCCACTCCTTATCTGAACTGTGGAGGGAGGCTGGGACAAATTCTGTCACAGCCCACTACCCACACGGTCCCACTTCTGCACCCTGAGCATCTGCGAAGACGCACGCACACACGCACGCACGCACGCACGCACACTCTCCTACTCAATAACAAATCCTAACATTCTTTCATAACTGAGGAGAAACAGGTTCTGCTGACACCATAATGATCATTTTGTCATCTGGGATCCTTCTGTCTACTCTTTATATCCCCCCTCTGTTTCCCCCCTGCAGGTCCTTGACGCTAACTCTGCCATTTGCCGTTACCTAGACGACAACAGCTGCTCCGCCCTCATTATCCTAGGCTTTGTTATGATGTCACCGCTCGTGGTTGTTGCGGCCGCCGTCTTCTGCGGGCTGCTCCGAAGGTTTCGACTCCTGCTTCTCATTCAGCCAATCACGCATGCTTGGTACCGAGGGTGGCTTGTTGACTGGGCGGGCAGCGTCCATGCCTGGGTCTGATCCTCGCGGAGGACTCTGATGGTCGGGTGTATTACCTTTTGGTCGATAACAATGTGAAATCAATCAGAGAGACAATGGGGTAGACAAAACAACAGAGACACCTCCATATATAATCAATCAAATGCTGAGTTAGTGGAAAAAACAGATTACATCATGTTAAATGACTAAACATTACTCACATAGTACAAGTGGAATAGTTTGTTTCACTTCTTTGCAGCCTGATGCTCCTGCCCTTTAATGTTGCTCCCGCCCAGCCGGTAGACTCGACATGGGGATGACTGCATGAGCAAAAATCTGTTTGTACGCTCTGCAAACGACTTGTAAAGAAAACAGGTATTCAAATTTCACAAACAACTTGATGTCCTGAAGGGGATGTCTATTCAAAAATGACAGTCTTTGCAAAAATTTTTTTTGGAATAGCTGTTTTAATAAATAAAAAATACAATGATACAATACCAGGAGTGGCCACTAGGACAATTGTACAAGCTAAGGCTTGGTGTCTTTACTGCACTTGTTGTTAGTGCTGTTGCTAATAATAATTTTATCGCTTAAAACCATACCTTAAACCACAATGTTGTCTTCACACCTAATTTCCAATAATGAATATGCAAACTTGATATAACCTGTTGGTGAACTTTATTTTTGTTTACATTGGATGGAGCCAGCCTATAGCTGTAACTCTCTTTTTACAGTATTTATGCTAAGCTAAGCAAATCTCCTACTGGCCATAGCATTATGCCTAACGGACACATATGTAAGTGTGTTTCTCTGAAAAATGAAACAATGTATTTGTCTACTGCTTGTGTTTTACTGGGTTGCATATTGTGAGGGGTCTTGATTGTTTTGTCTATCCCCACTTACACAGAAGGCACATTATGATTGGATTAGATGTCCTTAGTGTATTTGTAGCTGATCCCACCTCAGTCTTTGTTCTTTTATTTGAAAAATGGTAAAATGTTCATTGTTTCGTGAAGTGATGTCTTCGTACTTAAACATTCAGCAGTATGACAAAACATATTCTTCACTCACCTGATAGAACAAACAAACGTGAGATGGGCCAGAGATGATCAAATGTTTTTTTGTTAATGAAGGCTAAATGTAGGATTTTCATACCAACAATAACACATCAGCAAAGCTTTGACATAGTAAGACTCAGAGGAAACTGCATTTTTTGGAGGAGCTTATAGTTTGAAAAGATGTACCAGGTTTTCTGTGGTTGTATTCAATCAGATTTGATGTAAAACAAAGTATTTTTGTGATTTTCTATTGGCTGTTTGCTGACTATGTTGATAGGTTCAAATGTGGTTATTTCTCAGAAAGATATTGCTGTGAAGTTGTTTGTGGTTGAAGATTAGACGTCTTGTTAGAATTAAAAGAGTCATTGAAAACATTACAAATGTTGATTATATTTGGCTGAGTAAGCTGAGTAAGCCGAGTAAGCTGGGGCCTTCAAACACCCTGAAAAACAGGAAAAATACAGTCAAACGTGAAATAAAAAGCAGAATACACAAACCTTAGTTCTAACCTTGAGTTGAATTAAATTGACCATTATTAAATATGTTTATCTGATGTAGCTCCGCTAGCAGTTGTGTGGTAGGAAGGGCAGTATATGAAACATATCTTATCAAGCAGATCTTTAACATCTCGTCCTGCCACGACGAAACAAACCCTTCATTAGAAACACAACAGAAGTCGAGTACGACACTATAATGGCTGCTCAGAGAGGGAGCCAGCTGTTCAATTGGGATTTGAATCATCAGAGTAGGAGCTCATTCTGCTGCATCTTCACTTCCTGGTCATTTAATTTCATCAGCAACACACATCCTGCACATCCTTTTTATGTGTGTGTCACGGCTCTGTTGGTGTTCAGATCTGAGGTCTCATTTCTCAGAAGAAAGCTTTGAATCATCCTGTAAGACCAACAGTTATTACTAGTCCTGTGCCACTGTTACTACCAAACTGAATGTTATTTATATTTCATTTTAAAATATGTATTTTTTTATGTCTTTTAAAATGTATCTGTTTGTTTCAGTCTTGATATGAATCCTTCATTCTCAGAGAATAATCTTAACACCCACAACTGGAAATATACAGTGCTTATCTGGGATTCTTTTTTTTTTTAAAACCTTTCATTTTTGTGTTTCTAACAAAATAACAACAAATGATCATGCTCAGACCATCCATAAATAAACACAGGTCTTTTTGTTTCCAATGTGTCTCTTTCTATGACAGTATATTTGTCCAGTGATTTAAAATAGTGAGTGCTGACCTAACTTTTTTCTCATGCAAACTTGCAACGCGTACACATTACAACATTTAAAAAAACCTGTACCTTAATTCTGAAATGAATCAATATGATACAGTCTCTCTCTTAAATATGAGAAAAGTCCATCCTCTCCGTCTTTTGCCTGCTCCACTTTTCAGAAAATGTGTGCTCAAACAGAGTTTCCCTTCATGACATCACAAAGGGCAGTAACCCCTCGCAAATGTAGATGTTTGTTCCGCCCTCTAAGTCCACATTCTCACTGTAAACATTAGGGCATGGAGCGAGAGAGCCAGAGCCACATCCCCTTCAAGATAGGAGAGTGGTGTCAGACACAGCTCATTTACATATTTAAAGTACAAGTACATAAAATACAAGATAGATTTTTAATAAGAAACTTCACAGACATGTTTTGGGGAGCTCTGAGACCTTTAACAGGCCCATTAGAGTTTAAGTGTAGTAAGTGTTGCCTTTGAATGTTTGGTTCTGATGATGTATTCAGCCCTATAAACCATTTCGGGTTTGTTCATATTTACAGATATATCAAACTAATTTTTTTTAGAGCCTGCATTAACCTGTGACTTCTGCCAGTACCACCTAACCACAGTTGTGTTTATTTTACAATTTCTCCAACTCTCTGAATGCCTGCCTAGCAAAACTACATGTTTCCGCTTGTTTGACAAATATACAAAATTAATGAAGAATCTTTATAGAGCGTGATATCAAATCTATCTCTCAGATTATTTTTTTTTAACAGAGTATTTGAAAGTGACAATTAATGAAAAAAGTTATTGAGTACCAAGTCAGATTATTTTCTAGATCAGTTAATGGTTCCAGTAAAAGTATCTATTAAGAGCGTTTTACTATAGTGTCATAGAGCTTGTGCAGCTGATTGTATGCATACAACATTAAAGATGAGAGATGTTTGACTGCTTAGTTTAAACAGGGATAAGACCCTGTTTGCATTTACTTCTGAAAACATCTGTAGGAATTAGATGTCAAGCTGACAGTGCTAAATGCAAGTGTAAACAACCACCAAGATGCATACTTGACACTTTTTGTACTGTAAACACTAATGTGTCCTGATGTGTCCCAGACAAGGACCTAACAGGAGAAAAACTGTCACGTGTAAAAGACAAAGATGGAAGAGGACCCAAATGCAGGAAACAAAAAACGTTTCATTTAAAAAAACAAAAGCTTACTTTTTAGAAAGTCCTGGTAAATAAATGTCCAACTAAAGAACCATCCCAAATGTGCCCCCCAATAACAAACAAATGAGGTAGCACACTAGAAACCACATGGGGAAAGTAAAGCACACACTAAATAGACAAGGAGTGATTGGACATAGGTGTGACAAATGAGACACAGATGAAACTGGTGAGGGCAATCAGAGTGGAGGGAAAACAGACAAAGGGAGGAAGTAACACAAGACAAGAATCACTGGGGACAAGAACTACAAAATAAAACAGCAAAGACTAAATATAAGACTAGATAGATGGTAACACAAATTTAGAACACAAGGGAGGAAAAGCACAATTAAGCAACCAAACGGAGGAATAACTAAACAAAAGAAAGGTAAATCATGACAAAAACATCAGTGTGAATGTGGAGTTATTTATTTGGTGACAAGCAAATCGATGTACAGTATATAAAGGCCTGAAACATTCTCTTTTTCCAATGTGTTGAAATAAATGCAATGTGCACAGAACCTTTAAATTGGTGACCCTAAGAAGTTAAAACTCAATCAAATTTAATTTATTTGACAACACAGGTTTTTTTTTAATGTAGCAATCTCAACCAAAAAAAGAGGACCTCTGGTCGAAACATTTTGATGAGTTATAACTTTTTGTGGCATTTGATCAAGTGTGCGTGCATATCTTTTTTGTCAGTCTGCTGATTTTGCTACTTGATGTGCGTATAACTACCTCCTTTTTCTTACCAAACCCAACATACCCAACTACCACAACATACCCCCAAAACAAGTTAAAAACAGTCACTGCCTGGACAATGTAGTGTTTTTATTAAATGTTAGTCCGACAGTTTGTCTTTCTTGTTGTTACCAAACAGTACAATGTCAATGTATGTATACTATATGATCAGTTTACCATCCAATGTTTAGTTTCACATGAGCTCACCCTGTTGTGTGTTGCCTTTTAATGTGACTCGATCCAGTAAGCTTCGAATTTGCCCCCTGCATTTATTCTCTTCCATTTAAAAGGAAAAGCCGCATGCGCCTCTGCAGGGTCTTCTAGTTAAAAAGAAAGAGTTGTCATATAATTAGGAAGGATAATTCACTTTTTACACAATTCTCTGTTGGTAAGTGGGTGATAATAAGAACACAAGCTGCAGTGAGGGAAGAAATAGTAGAATAATGGACCAGACAATGAGCTCTGAAAGATGGAAAACATGAGAGCATGACTTTTAAGACTACATAATGAAGCCCTTTAAACTACAATTACAGATATCAGAATTGTACTGTATGAAAGTGCTTGAAATGTGTTTTCATCAATCATTAAGGGTGTTTATACTTTCCTTGCAATAAGATGCTTATCGTCAGAGCTAGACAGTTAGCTAACAAGTGTAAGTCCTCCAAAAAATTACAAGGCGTAACTTTTCTCATTATTAATTGAAGAATTCACAGTATTTCCGTTCTTATTTACTTTCTTTCTTTCTTGTAAAACTGTAACAAAGCACAAATTGCAAAGTACATTAGAGACTAACAAACAGAAAATAGGGCACAAGAAACAATTAGCTAACCTAACATGCTTAGTCATGCTGCTAGCTTACTGCTCTGCTAACTATCAATTTATTAAAATCTAATTGTCTAAAGAAACAACTTGTCCAAGGGAACAAAGTGGAAGATCATTCTGCAGGAGGTGAAAAAACTGCTGTCCTTAAAGGTCTGGTGGTAATTAACACTTCACATTCTCATACTACTCAGTTCACCAGGAGGGGGCAGTGTAAAAACAAAACTTAACTCAAACAATATCAAATGTCCTACACAAAGGGCACAACAGTGTGTCATCATTTATTAGACATTTGAGGCCTCATATTGTCTAACAGTTGCTCTTGTTCTCATCCTGTGTTTGTTGCAAAAGCATGAAATTAAATAAAACTCACACTGCAAAACCCACAAGACATTTAAGTTCTCGAAGTGTAGCATTTGGGAAAAATAACACTCTCTTTGGAATAAATACAAAAGCTCAGCCATTTAAAGAGCCCATATTCTGCCCTTTTTTGGGTTTGTATATTTAATCTATGTACCTACTAAGGTATGTTCACAATAGCTAAAGTTCTAAAAAAGTGTCTGTTTTCATGTACCACTCCATGCATCGGCTCTGAAGTGCCCACGTTCAGAGTCCCCACGTGTACCAAGTCTGATCTGATTGGTCAGTCGCTTAACCACTCTGGCTCCGAGGGCTGGGGAGCAAAAACATTAGCACCTTAGCACTACTGTGCTACCGCAGGTTACGGCATATCGTGGGCGTGCTACAGAAGTTAATGGGCGTGCAACATGAGCTGCTGGGCTTGCCACAACGAGCCAATGGGCTTAGATCAGTGATATCACACTGACAAGACGTCACACTGGCAATTTTTATCGAGGGGGGCTAGAACCGAGCGTTACATGCAGCTAATGCTACAGCTAACAGGAGGACGTAGGAGAAGCCACAGACCTTTAATTTTTGCAAATAGATGTGCCTAAACATGCACAGGACACATGGAAAACACACTAAAGACCATATAAAACCAGAAAAAGCATAATATGGGACCTTTAAGTTGTTGGCAAGACAGTTGGAAAAGTGGGATACAAACTGGGGGTTAAAAAGGTCTATGAAGAAAGAACTTGAGGATCTTATCATTAATACAGAAAGGAATCATGACACTGTTTTGTTTTTGGTGCAAACTGGCAGGTTTCTGAACTTTTCAGACTGGCGCTGTTCAGGAAGTTTCATGTTTCATCTCTCCTCGTGAAAATCTTTGGTCTGAACTTGCCTAAGCTGAATTACCATTTTAAGTATGTTGTGCTTTAAAATCATTTAACACTGCAATAATGTTGCACAGAAAGCTTGTTTGAGTACGATCAATGGAGGGTGTTTGCAAAGAACTGTTGTTGCTGCCTCATTTCTTCGGGGCTATAAATCCCAGTACACCAACCTAGGGATTATGCCCCTCCAGACAATCATAATATACATAGGGGCTGTGAGAAGACTCAAGTGATAGTAGTCAGCTTCAAACTGCTATCAATATTCCCACATATTTCCACTAGAGCAGTGAAAATGTTGGTTTTCAGGGTTTTGTATCAAAGTAGGTTCATATGAAGCTTTTGTTTGCTTGAATTCTGTTTTTAAAAAGAACATTTTACAGAGAATATTTCGAAGTATTTGTATCAAGAAGGAGCATATACGGTGCTGACTGTAAAGATTTTCAGGTACAAGTAGCTCTAATGCTCGAGTTCATAGACGGTTTGACAGGATGTCAGGCCAGTTCTATTGTTTGGATTCTGTCCTCCTCTGCTCTGTACTACAATGATACCAAACAGCAGAAGCTCTCTTTACAGACTATAACAGGTGAATATGGACTGTTTTTAGCTGTCGTCACATTAGGTAAATAACACCTTCTTGGTCATGATTAATGCTTCAAAGTATTATTTAACGTGATTTCATACAGAGCCGCACTGATTTGTCTCCATGACAACTTGGATTTAAAAAAAAAAAAATTCTATGGCAACCAAATTATAACAGCGGGAATCCTGATTATATACCATTTATGACTCTGGGCGCAATAGTGTGTCCTTTAAAGCTGGAACAATTTAGATTTTCCTTTATTGTTAATAGTGGATCTAACTTTTGATTGTGTTTGTATTAGTTTGTGAGTGTGTGTGTGTGTGCGTGCGTGAGAGTGCTCTTATATGGAGCTAATATTATGGCAAAACTACTTGAATATGCGTACACAGATCCACAAATGTGTAAATAGAGCCACAAATGCGTAAACTAATCTGCAAATATTTAGACCAATTTCAAAATATTTACTTATTTATTAATGGCAGTGAACTTTTTCAGCTGTAAAGCCTGAAAATACACACAAATGATCACTTACAACTGAGGCGGACCTCTCCATTGGCTGTCATTTTACACGCTACTTTTGCAACACTCCTGCCGTGCAAGATCCACAAAAGCGTCCACATATCTGCAAATGTGTGTCTGACGATCTGTAGTGGGGTTGGTTGCCCTGACCCCAGGCTCACAGGCACATTTGTGGATCTGTGTGTGCATTTGTGGATCTGTGTACGCATATTCAAATAGTTTTGCCACAATAATAGCTCCATACTCTTAGTATTGTTAAGTGAATGTTGAGCCATTCCTCTAAAGCTGCGGGCCAGTTCTGATACTGGAAATACATCCGGTCTACAATTCAAGCATCCTCTTTAACGTAATTGGATGATAAACCTCTAGAACATATTTCAAACCCATCTTTACTGTAAATGTCAACAGGAAAAGTGGGTTCCTGAATTTAGTCCAAAGTAAATAAAGGAACATCGACAATTACATTTTGTCAACAAATTAATCCACTGGATTAGTCAGCCAGAACACTGATCCTGTTTAATCAACCAAAGCACAAAGGATAAACATTAGCTCCTCCACAAACACAGCAGGATCTGATTCAGATGATGTCAGCGGTTACCAGAGGCTGGACTGCAGCAGTTTTGTGTTTTTAGTGGAACTGGTTTGTGACCCTCCTCCCTCTGCATCCACTGGCCCTGTAATTTTCCTTTCACCTAACCACTTCCCCCAAATGTAATTGCCTCCTTTCATAGAACACAAAACATGAAATATAATTAAAATGTTGTTTTTCTGGGCTTAGACTGATGGTTTAATAAATGGCTGCAGAGTGCACACTGTGAATTTCACTTTATCTTTTCCTTTGAAAGCAGGTGTTCAATGTATTTAAATAAGTAGTGATCTGATTCATAGCCTGCTGACTGTGTTAGTGTGATGAATGTGTGTGGTGTTTTATTCTTTTGGCCTACACTTTGTTTGCAGTATAACACAATTATGTGTGTGTTGGAAATTAACCCATTATGTGCCTTGGTTATGGGAACAAATGGCCGAGTAAATAACTGTTGTGTTAGTACACAGATGTTCGCTGGAATGATGGAGGAATCAAATTAATTTTTCTCATTTTCTCTGCACATCCTGTGGTAGCCAACTGTTGGTGATAAAGCTCAGGAATACAGACGGATAATTACCAACAGGCAGTGAGCCTCAGCTGCAGGCTGTCAGGATTGACAACACTTCCAGGGCTGGGCTAGGGCATGTAGTAGTGAAGGCTTTTAATTGGTGTAATGGACTTTTTGTCTTATAGGGTTCAATTATGCACATTCATCCTATTAGCTGCTGACATGTAGAAAGCATGGTAATCCTCCAGGGGGTCAGTGAAGAAGTGTCAAGAGCTGGTTATGGTGGCATTGAAGCTCTCAGTGCTCTGTGATCCAGGAGAAACACAGTTTCAGGCAGGATATCTCTGGGCTTTAGATAGAAAGAAGGAGTTCTATGACACAGGTTATACACAAGATCAAGTAATCGTTTAAAGAAAATAATCAGACAGCAGTCGTATAGGGAGTTTGTGCATTACAACACTACAGGAGGGGTTTATACTATACCAATGATATCTATAAAGCTTAATTTAAGCAACAGTTAGCTTAGCATTGCTGAAAAGACTTGGAAAAGGAGATAAAAAAGTTAGCACTGCCTCAAAAGGGAGAAAATATGCACCACTAGAGCATAGTAACTAGTCCTATTCATGAATCAAACCTCTGTAAGTCAGTATTTGAAGTAATTACGATTTAACATAGTTATGACCAGTGATGGAGTCCCTATAGGCCTAGAGCGTCACACATGTATACCAGCTATGAATGATGAAAATTGTTACGTCACCTATTGCAGTTCTGCCTGCCGGGTTAGGCTTTCTGTAAGCAAAACAAAAATGTAACTCAATCTGCATCTGTTTAGCCCTTTCCAATTCTGCCTTCCCCAACAGCTCTCACAAGCCAATGGCAGCCTGTTACAGTCGGTGTGTAAAACAAGGGAGGTGGACCCAAGTGCAAAAAAAACAAAAATATTTAATTAAACAAAAAGGCCAAAGGCAACAAAAACTTACTTACAAAAGTTCAACAAAAAACATGGGGATCAAAACCAGGGAGCCACAGAGGAGCACGAGCAAAAAACTGACATGCCAACAGACTACATCCAGACTACATCCAGACTACATCCAGACTACATCCAGACTACATCCAGACTACATCCAGACTACATCCAGACTACATCCAGACTACATCCAGACTACATCCAGACTACGACAAACAACACTGGCAACACAAAATACAATGAACTGACACAGAAGGCAAGAAACACAGACTAAATAGACACAGGGGTAATCAAACACAGGTGAGACTAACAAGACACAGGTGAGGACAATCAGGGCAATCACACAGAGGCAGGAATACAAGAAACACTGAGGACAACTACTCATGAAACACTAAAGACACACAGAACTCAAGAATAAAACAAAAACACACTAGAACACAGAGATACACGAGGATAATGAATGACAAAACAAAACAGAAAACACTGAAGACAAAACTAGGAAACACACAAGGGAAAAACCAGCAACACTAGGGAACATTAACACAAGGAAACACGCAACACTGGGATAAAACAGGGAAACTCAAATACAAAACCAAATCATGACACAGCCTGGTCCACTGACACCAACTTAGCTTGTGTCTGGGAATAAAAAAATGCCATGTGAGCATGAGTTAATAACCCTGTATGTTTAAACAAACATCTGGATGTGAATTTACAAAAAAAGACTACTTAAGGAGAAAGTACTTGATACATAGATCCTGTGAGTGTTATAGCAAGATAAGTCACCCAACCTTAATATGTTGATGGCATTAACCCTTCCTTTGCCACAATAGCTCTAGGATTCAGATGAGTATTAACTTAATGCAGATCTGCCTGCTTTAAGTAATAAAGCAATTGAACTACCACTGCATGCCATGAATGAAAATGCAAATGCAATCAGTTTCCCCCCCATGCTTTCTCAAAACTTCTATTATTTCTTGTCCTCACCAGTTCAGTGGCCTCGTGAGAAAACAATTTAAAAAAAATCTAACCTTGTTGGAGGCTACCATAAAATAAAAGAGCCTTTATGAACAGGCAAAGATTTTCATAGAACATGAATGGTTAAAAAAAATGAATAGAGATTTCACATTAGGCTGTTTTTAATAGTCATACACGTTTTGGATATTAGAGAAATGCACCAGATTTATGTAAGTTTTTGTGTGTGACCCAGATGAAAAATTGTTGTACTGGAGAGATTTGAGAGAAAGGTGGCACAATGCCAAGGACAATGGCATCTTCTTGTCTGGACTTCCTGTCCATGGCTGGTTGTGTGATACTGAGCCCTTGTGACATTTCGCAGCAGGCCTGTAGGACATACTGTCATCCTGCTGTTTTAACATGACAGAGCTATAGCATCCATCTTAAGGTTACAGAGCTTCTCATGCTCAGTGGTTAGAATCAGTGTATTCTCCGTCTCAATCACAGACAATCATTAGAGTGTTCAAAGCGTTGGTTGGTGTAATATTCCACATCTTTTGGCCGTGTGACGTTCAAAAGGCTGCAAAAAATCTGATCTTTAAAAATAAAGATGCTACAATATTTTAAATTACAAGTGTTACAAGATAACACAATCAGAAGAAATAAATCTGCTATGATGATGCACTGGGTTTTCTCTCTCTCCTTCTCGCTCTCTCTCTCTCTCTCTCTCCAGCTCTCTGCTGCTTTTTGAAGCACTCTTGTGAAAATGAGTGTATGAGCCATTTAGATCAGGCTCTCTCAGTCCATCGCCCACTCTTATACTCCTCCCTTTCCTCTCATGCTCCATCTCACACACACATACACACACACACACACACGCGCACGCACGCACACGCACACACACACACAGCCTCTTTGCTTACACTTTCAGGCAGGAGCAAATTACAGCTCTCTTGAATTCACCTTCACATCCACCATTTCTATAATGTCTCTAAACCTCTTTACCCACCACATGCTGTCTGTTCTGTCTCATGCCCTTACAAGGTTCCTTATAGAATTCAGGCTTGATGGCAATATATCACCAGTGATTGAACCCATTGTACTTTGACATTTGGCACGGACATTTTCCATCTCCAGAAGTTGAATCACTGACTTTGGTGACACACTCAAGGGGATTATGCCTTTGTATTTATTCAATTGCAAGGAACCACAATTTCGGATGATTGGTTTAAAGAGAAACGTCTCATGGTCTGAAATCTGTTACACGTGTATGTAGCTCTATATTACTTTGAGAATCCCTCTCCTCCAGCAAAATCCTCAGATCCAGGTCATTAATGACAAACTTCTGTTTTGTTGACCAAAAAGTCCATCCTCTCCGTCTTTTGCCTACTCCAGATTTTCAGAAAATGCGTGCTCAAACAGGCCTTTTGGAGATTTTCCCTTCATGACATCACAAAGGGCAGTAACCCCTCCCCCAGATGGATGACACTCCCACAGCTAGGTGTTTGTTCTGCCCCCTGAGTCTGCCTTTCCACTGTAAACATCAGGGCATGTTGCAAGAAAGTGCAAGCCACCCTCCCTTCCAACCTAACGAACCTAGTGAGAAACACTTTGCTGCATTTAAGGCTATAGACACAGAAACAGCCTGTTCTGTACAGGGCTAAAAAAGAGGGGTTTATAGGCTTACTAAAATACAAGATTGGAGGGGATTTTAAACAAGGAACCTCAAAGACATGTTCTGGGGACCTCTGAGACTTATTGAAAAGTTGTTGAAAAGGAGTATAATATGTGACCTTAAGATGACTCAATCACAGACATTGAGCATTGTTCCTGCTTACCACTGATGTTAGCACTTACCTTATCTGTATTTTAAAAATCTACACAAATGTTGAATGTCATTCATACAGAGTGCCGGCAACGCTGCAATTGCTTTCCAGATTATTCTGTCTGAAAATATTCTGTTATCCACTTATTTAATTGATGTCTCTCCCCTCTCATTGGAGTGAGTGCAGCTATTCAAACAGCTGGAGTTTGCATTCTGTTAAGAGGCAATCATTACAACCTAGTTCTTTTCATGCAACTCCACACATAACGGCTAGTTTTTTTTAAAGCAGGATGAGTAGGTTTACCTAAAATCAATGAAAAGGCTCTCTCAAAACAGCCCCTCTCAATCATCACTTATTAAAGGCACAATACGCGACATTCTGAATATCAATAACAAATAAGCCTTTTGGTATCCTGTTAGTCACTTTTATAATGTTGTATGTTCACTTCTTGTTTTATTTTGTAATACTGGTGCTTTTTTATAATTTCTTGTACAACTTCACACTATCGTTTCTTTTTACTGCCTTTTGTCCCAACACACCTGTGTTTCATTCGTAAATGCCGGTGCAGTTGGTGGCGGTATGCACCTGTAAATTGGGATTGCAATCCGCCAAAGAAACACAAAGAAGAAGATGCCCTCTTCCAGATTGTCATTGTCGCCTTAAGCCTACACTCTGAAAGATTTTTTTAATCTTAAATGATTTTGAAAAATGTGAGAGACCCCGACATGACGACAAATAATGACAGATTTAACAGTTTTGTTCTTATAGTATGGTGTGCAATGAGATGACCAACTAAGCACACCACACACTAACAGATACATTGACCAACAACCAGAAACTTGACCACAGGTCTCGACTCTAAAAATGTGTAATCTTGAACATTTAAATGCGACTTAATGCGAACATGATGGCAAAGCTAAATGTGGCTAGCTGTAAGCTACCTGGTTCATCCATTGTGGTAGCCTTTTTGGTCAAACTCCTTTCCTTGATGATTGTGGTATGTTTTACAGGACATGTTGTATAAACCCCTGTGTTGCTGCCACAAATGAACAAATTGGTCCACCATATCTGACGTCCACGTATAACTTTATGCTTCCTGCTTCTGTCAGTTTGTTTCTGTATGGCTATTGTTACGTTCAGTGTGAAAATGCACAGTCCGTGCTGTTAACGCCTCCCCCTCATCGACAACGTGCATTTGGTTAAACTGTTTAACCGCAAAAATAACCCGTCATAAGAACAGTTTCTTCCCCCAGGCTGTCACTCTGATGAACGCTAAACAGTCACAGAGTGTCAGAACTGTCGCGGTGAAATGACTCTAAACCAAACCATCACTGTGAATATACATATATGTATATATATATTATTTAATTTAAATGATAATATACGCACACTTATTTATGTGAATACTGTAATTGACATCTTAATTGACCAATCTGTCACATAACTGCATTTTACTTATTATCATGTTACTTCAGCATCTTTTGCACTATTCACCACTGCACTGTTTCATGTTTAGTCATGTAAATATTAGTATTTTCTTATTATGTTTATTGTTGATATTTAATGTTGTACCTGTACATAAGAGAGCACACTTCACCAAAGTTAAATTCCTTGTGTGTGTAAGCATACCTGACCAATAAATCTGATTCTGATTCTGATTCTAAATCTGATTCTTAATGAGGCAAGAATGACACAAACAATATATCTCAACATTACATTGCAATCTTGTGAATAATATCTGCAGGGATATATACTACACCATCAGATTGCTGCTTTCCAATTAAGTGTGAGGCAGATCATAATACCTACTTTTTGGGCAATAGTGTGATCAGTTTTCAACATCAACAAACACAGCAACAGCCAACGTTACACAAAGCTCTCACCAATGTGTAAAAGCCTGTCCAATATTTACTTTAGTTGGCTTCTTTCTTGTTCCTTCCGTTTCCTAGCCTGAGCCATTGTATCAACCAGTACAGAGATTGGCTAACTGGTTTCTTTTAGCTAAGGGCTTTTGTTTTCAGTGCCACAAACCCGTATGCACTTCTCGCAATATGACCTTAGGTAGTCAAAACAGCGGTGGCTATACTGCACGCATCAGATAGTTGAGTGGATGTGCGTTGGATATCACAAGCAGGAAACAGAGAGTGTACAGCGTGGAGGACAAGAGACGAACGGCTGTGTGCATGGAATAATTAACAGACTAAAGTCAAAGAAGTGTGCATTCTATGCCATAAGAGCTTATTTTTCTTTTTACCCTCTTCTTTAATTTGTCTCTTTCTTGTTTTGCTTTCTTTTACACCTTATTGAGTATGTGTTTATGTTAGTTTTGTTGTTTTTGCTTGGACTACATTAATA